CAAAAAATTAAATTAAATAATAGATACTTACCACTGGTCTACATACAATTTCGCCAGTTGTCGACTTTTTCGTAGGGCACATAAACGTCTTCGTGGACTACCCATTGTAAAAACTATGAGCACTCTGGTTTGTCAATAGTCTGAATCTGAATAAACTTTGTCCATTTAATAAGCACTAAATTCTTGTTTTCGTTTCAACATTATTTATGACGAGAGACTGGATTATATGCAAAATGCATGTGCATATATATGCAGCATATTTGTGGGTTTCTTTATAAATGCATACGCTATTCATATTTACTTGATTAAGAGCATATTGCCACATATTTGAAAATATCACATAAATAAAATGGTTTTCTATACACAATTAGATAATAGTTTTTTGGAATTATTCATAGCATGTAGTAGGTAAGGTAACTACAAGTTTTATTGTTTGGGAAAACCCATCTGGGAATTATTTATCAGAAGAATAAGGACAACAGGCAGCTAGGTATTATACAGTGAATTCGTTTTTAAATTCTCTTTATCAGCTGGCAAAGCAACTTGTGATTGTGAATATCGTGCTTATAAAATAAAAATAATTTCTTTCATGAAAATATGCCGAAAGTAGCGAAACAAAAATCAAGTCTATTGCGAAGTTGGGTTGGCGGCAACAGTGAAATGAAGGTATAGACAATGAAAGTGTTTTCTGTACTATTTGTGATAAAAAGGTGAGTCCACTTATATTTTAACGATTCAAAAATTTAATTTAAAATCGCATTTTTGCAAGAAAATCGGTATACCTATACTAAACATCTAACAGTTTGACTATTGGCGGTAGTTTTAGTTTCGAGAAAAAAAAATGTTATCTTAAAAATTTGAAGTCCATATTATTGCATTAGACTCCTATTTACTAAACCGTTTTATTACAGATTCCATGTGAAAAAAAAATTCAAATTTCCCAACATCTGAAAACGGCTCTCCACCAATATAAACTATCTAAGGACTTCAAGAAACCACGCCAGCAGCTTCTGCAGATCAATATTATTCAAAATCGTCACACATCGACGAGGCAAGAAATGTTTGCAAAAGATGTATGCAATTTTTTTGTAAGTTGCAATATCCCACTGTATAAATTGGATAGCAAGGTGTGTCAAAATTTTTTGAAAACATATTGTAAAGTTAAAAATAAGTCAGTACAGGTACCAAGTTCTTTAACTCTTCGCAAGGGTCGGTAAATTGCGAATTTAATTATTAGAATTTTAAACAGTTCAGCTGATGACTCCAACAAGTCGTATTTAATCAGCGTAAAATGTTTAGAAAAAACCAACTATGCAACAATTGCTCGATTTGTTAATGAATCTTTGACAAATTTCTTTTTACCGAATCAAGTACCTTCTGAAAAAAATTTGCTACTAGTTTGCTTCCTACCGCTTCCTACATGGTTAAAACTGTTAATAGTTAACTGTTAATGTAAATAGAAATTTGATTCATTGTAAATACTTGAATCAACAATGTAAAGAAAGTATTTTTAAAAGCACCATTGCGAGAAGTATATAGGGAGATATAGGCTTCCCGATATCCCTTTGCCACCGGAACCAGTGTTGAATAGATGGGGGACGTGGTTGAATATTTGTTGCAAATAGTTATATTGATGTCAAAAATGTTATATCAAATTTTGATCATTCTTGTTGTATTGCTGTTCAGAAATGTCAAAAAATATTGAACATTTTATGATTATATACTGTAACACCAAGAACGAGGACATTTTCTTGTGATTTTCATTTATATTTTTTTATTAAATGTAGTAATAAATAAACACTCAAGCAAACAAGTTATACTATAATTTTATTTCTCACAAAATCTCAAGCCCTAAAAATAAAAAAATATTTTTTTAAGTGCATATATAAATCGTCGTTAGGAATGAAATATCTCCAATGTAAAAATATCCTAATTTTACAGGAGACACAAAAAACAGTTAAATAACGCTATTTTATATTGTATTAAATTAGTAATTGATTTTTTTGGCCAAACTAAGATTGATATTGATATTAAGGTGAAATTGATTCCTTAAATCAGTGCAAAACATTAAACTAATAAAAAAGATATTACAAACGCGCACATTGGAGAAATTATAAATGATTGAACCGGTACATAGCAGGAATTTCAAATATTGTGTAAGGCATGTCATAGTACTATATACCTTGAATTTGGTGTTATTGAATAAAGTATTATTTTTTGTTGATTTTAGGAAGAGTATCGTAAAAGTGATGATGATCTTTTTCAATAACTGATTTGAGGTCTTGCAGATGTTTGAACTTGTCTTCTGATATTTCAGGAGGTGTCTTGAAGAGCGAGTTTTCATAAACCAACAGGTCTTGGCTTTCTGTTCTGTGTGGTAGTAGCTTCCAGTTATCTGAGTAATCAGTGGTGTAGTATACGTCTCCATTGGGACTATATTTTAATTGTCTTATATCTACAACTTGCGGATCTTTGGCATTTTTTTCCAGGTCTTATTGAACGGAAGTTACTGTCAATAGCGTACTTTTTAAAGAACGTAAAATCTACGTTTATAATATTATACGGATGTTTTGGCCGAGCAAGATGCATTCTAGCGATGTAATCCATCGGTAAATTAATTGGAGTCTGAACGTAATGTTCCAAAGTTAAATAAACTGAATCTGCTTCCATCATAGTATGACCTTTTTCAAGATATAACTGCTGTATTGTAAGGGATTTTGCTCTTGCTGAATCACTTAAAGCACTAGCCAGAGTTTTTTCGAAATTTGGTAGTTGCATCCATCTGAGATGAATACAAGAGTTTGACAGTTAGCAGGAATATTATTTATATAATCTATAAGACAAGATGTAAATTCATTGCTACTGACTCCACCATTTGTTTCATGCCAAACGTACAACTGGACATCTTCATCATTTAGAGAATAAGATCAACTGTGAGAGTAATAATAATTGAAGATCAACTGTGAGAACCAATTTTTCAGAATTTGCGCTACTTCTTAATAACTCTTTTGCCCGTCTTCCTTCTTTCTGCTTTGACATGTGCTGATGATAATCTTCAGTACTTATTGTCTTCATTTTATTTGCAATATCACATTGATCTTTCCTTTGCTTATGTATGCCAATTTTCTCTGCTTCTAAAACAACTTTAAACAACTTGATATGAGCAACTGACTGCTTTATATCATCGCACCATTCTTTATATAGTCTGTACATGTAATTTATTGTTATGATACTGTTGTCAACATATATTCTGCTAGTAGATGCTCTACAATAGTGTGAAGGAACTTTAGGAATATTTTGCAACCATTCTGTAACATTCTTTTCTTTGCTAATTTGTCTAATTTTTCTTGGAGTAATCTTGTTGAATGTTGGAATCTTGTAGACTGTCACTAGAAGTTTCAATTCCATGAGTGGCTGGCTCCCTTGAGACCCATCGTTTCATTGTGTCTTCTCCTAAATTTAATGTATTCAAAAACATAACTCGGCATACCTTGAGGTAACTTCCATCTTTAGAAACAAAAAAAGTCACGAGCACTCTTCTTTTTGGACCGTTTGTCTGAATTTTGAGTATCTTTTCGACGCCTTTGCACTGCTCTTGCCCAAACAAGATTTTTAACATAAGTGCTTCTATGTTCCCACGACGTTAATGTCCAAAATTTTTTAAAAATTCGTAGTCTATCGTCCTGCGTAATTAAAGAACATCTAAATAAGTGTTCTTTTAAACATTTTGGCGTTATAATATGGTTACATCGCTCCTTTACTGACATGCCATTCCGTCTGGTAATATGTTGTACATCGCCAAAACACAAATTTTGGCTTTTTCCTGTTCCAATATAGTAGCTGCAGGCAAACTGAAATAAGAAAAATAATTATTACCTACTTAATTTAAGCAATAATGAGATGAAAGATATCTAACGGTAGTAGTGAATTTGTTTACATACCTGTTTTTGGATTTTTCATTATAAATTTCATTTTCAATAGGAGCAAAAGTTTGAATAGAATTTTGCCGATCTTCTTTAAGTGAATTTTGTACAACTATTTTAGTTCTTGTCTTGAAAACACTCATTTTGCACTGGTAAATAGCTTATTTGAGAAAATTTGAGGATAGGAATTTGACAGATGAAAGTATGAAATACCTCCAATGTGCAGATATTATAATAGATAATAGCTCCAATGTGTTTTTTAAGCACATTGGATTTATTTCAGTCCAACAATTAATAATATGTTACATTGGAGTAATGCATTTTTAGACATTAGGGAAGTTAGGAATCGGTACGCACATTGGATATTTTTCTAGACTGTAAAACTATTCATAGCGATTCAGAATCGTTTAAAATCTGAATTACCAGAAATTTGCACATTGGAGGTATTTCATTCCTAACGACGAAATGCATATAATAAAGGCATATTTGGTTACTTTTTAAGTGCATGTTGCATGCATATTTTAACCATTTTTTAGAGCATATAATCCAGTCTCTATTTATGACCCTTCCGAGAGAGTGTAGGCTATATACCTGGTAGCTAGTTATCGACAACAAAGACAGCCTGTGTTGACCGAGAGTGATAACTATCAGTAGAGCTTCAAGCTTTTTAAAAAAGTTTAAATAAAATAGCTGCTTCCAGTTATATTTTATGTTAAAAGTAAAAACAGATTCGGAAAGTGCGAAAAATTCTATAGTGACGTAACTTTTGAATCTTTTTTAAATGAATTTTAAACAAAGAAAATTGAAAAAAATATTGTTTAGACCATTTATTAATAATTTATAAAAAGTTAGTGCACTAGAATTTTTTAAGACCCATCATATAAAAAAAAATAATTATCTCAATATCTGCCATAGTTTTTGCGTTGTTTTATTTAAACCTTTACATTGGAATTTAGCTACGCCCAGAATAGCGAGGAACAGCCTTAATACGGCCATGCTCTGGTAAGTTATTGAACATGGAAGAAAAAACACTGCTCTTTGTTTACTATCCTTTGGTTTCATATATAATATACATAACGTTTGAGTTTTACATAAAAATAAAGATCAAGTATTAATTTATGTTATATTGTTACTTCGAGTGACTTTGTTTAAAAATTAATAAAAATAATCTCCAATAAAAATTACAAAAAATACAGCTTGACTAACTTTCTACTACCATATTGCTTGTACACTTTGGACAGTTGAGCGACGGTTGATTTAGTAAAGCATGTTTACTGCGCTGGAACACCTCTGTACACTGCATACATTGATAAGACAAATTCTTATTATCAGTCTTTGTTTGTAAATTGGCAACCCCAGTAATTTTCTTAACACTATTATAAAATGTTTCACTTTCTTCCGGATCTAGTATATAAATTCTTTGTTTTCTATCTCGTCTAAGAGTATCGAATTCTAACTTAAAACCGTTTTCTTTGTCTTCACATTTTTCACAAGACAAAATCGTATTGATATGCCACCGCGCCTTTTCTTTGCTTGTAATGACATCACGTTCTGATATGTGGGATTCAGTCACTATTACAAACACTTCGCTATTATCTGCTGTATTGGTCGCTAGAAACATGCAATCTTCCCCTCCTGAAAAAATATCTTCGCCATCAGACACGTCCGATATTTCATCTTCTGGGGAACCATTACTGAACACACTATGTTCAGTGTCAGCTACAGGTCCATCCTCAGCTGTGCAAAACGTTTCGTTATTAGATGTTGCTTCAGTGACACACGACACATTTGCCGTATTAAAACCACTGGTCAGTGTGGTGTCTACTGGATTATTTGTTTGGACTTTAACAAACCCAGTTTCGATCGGAGTAGAAGATAGTACAGCAGTTTTTTCAAAACCCAATACGTCTTGCACAATTAGGCCAGAATGTCTATAAAGCCAAGATTCTCCATATTCTTGTCTCAGTTGTTCGACCTAAAACATTAATTTGCACAATTATTAACTGCTTTGATTATAAATTTTGATATTTAATAGTTTTGGAAAAAATATTACATAACTTTGTTAATATCTCTTTTTTTTTTCTATAAGTATTTCTATATTATGGAATATATTCTATACTATAGTATAGAATAAATTCGACATTTCCTAAATGAAAAGCCTTTTTAAAAAAATCTATGACACATCAATTTGTAAGTTTAATGTTCTACATTCTACAACAAAATTTCATTATAAAAGATGATCAAATTAAGGTGATGACGTCATCGGCCCTTTTTTAAATGTAACACTCTATATAACCCCCTCTGTGGCTCAGTGGTAAGAGCGCCTACCTTTAAACCTAAAGGTCGTGAGTTCGAATCTCACCTGGGTGGAAATTTTCGTTTATTAAAAAAATTAATGAATGAAAATAATTTCTATCCTTGTGTGATCGGTACTCACCGGAGGGACCGCAGACGTTCGGATACAATTAGCGTCTCTTAGCAAAGACAATGACGTCGACTTTGCTAAGTATCAAGACAATTACTCTACACACACAAACACACACACACACACACACACAAACACACACACACACACACACACACACACACTACAGTAATAAACTTATCTTGATTGAGACTGGCTGAATGACAATTGTCCTATATTTTATGACATTTTGAGATCGATAAAAATGAGCTGATTTTTCAAGTCATTGATTCATTTTCAAGTGAAATGAAGTCATTTTTTTACAATAATCATCTCAGTTTAGAACTAAGACAAAGAATGGTTAAGTGCTATGTTTGGTCCGTACTTTTGTATAGTGCAGAAGTGTGGACGCTAAAAGTATTGATCATGATCAAAATTGAAGCATTGGAAATGTGGGTTCATAGATAGATAGATAGATGGTTTATTGGTAATAAATTAATACATAAGTATTTTTTACAAGTCAAATAAAATAAAGTAAATGTCAATATAGTTAATATGCACACATAAATATAAACACAAAACATAGATACATTGTTTTAAATTATACTGTTAACAATTACAACAAATTAAAATTGGAAGTAAAATACTCCTCATATGTAAAAAAAGCATTCACTATAAGGTAACTCTTAGTTTTTGCCTTAAACTGATGAAAATTAAGAGCCTTTATTCTAGCTGGCACCTGGCACTAAGTTGTAGAATTTTATGACTAACTACCTTGAACCATTTCTGGATCTCTCAAGACAGCTAAATTCAAGTATAAGATTATTGTTAAATCTGGTGGGATAATTGTGAAAATCTACATGCGCATTGTACATGAGCATTGGCTAAGATTTTGTTTAATGTGCAACAGACACTGCATAATGTATACACAAGGTAAAGTTAAAATTTTTAAAATTCTAAAGGAGTTTCTACAGTCTGCTCTATAAGAGAGCCCAGAGATAATACAAACACACTTTCTTTGTTGTGCAAACACTTTATCGATATGACAAGAGTGACCCCAGGAGAGAATAGCATATGTCAGATGAGAATGAAAATTACTATGATAAGCTGTTAAAATAGTTTCCCTGGAAGTCACTTGTACAAGGTTCCTGAAGAGAAAAAGTTGTCGGGAAAGCTTTTTCGATAGATTAACTATATGTTGTTCCCAGGTTAATCCTGCATCCAAATATATCCCCAGAAACTTCGCTCCGGTTACACATTGTGGTAGAGCAACGTTTTCGACACAAGTGTTATTTCTTAGAGTAAAATTAACACTTTGTGATGTAGAGTTGTTCAAAGAGAGACGGTTAGTTAAAAACTAATTGAATAAGTTTTTTTTCAGATGTTTGGTAATCAAGGGTGTCGAATTCAGAAGGATGATAGCTTGCATAGCAAGTAGTGACATCAGCAAATAAAACAGTGTTGACTGTTTCATTTTGAGAGTACACTAGATCATTAATATAGATAAGAAATAATACTGGACCCAAAACCGGGCCTTGAGGGACACCAAACAACAAAGATTGTTTTTGAGAATCACACTGGTTGAAGTGAACATATTGATCACGATTTGATAGATATGAATCAATTAGTTGAATAGCATCACTATGAAAATTATAATAAGGAAGTTTTCTAAGCAGAATACTATGTGTGACACAATCGAAAGCCTTAGTAAGATCTAAAAACGATGCAAGAGTATCAAGATATTTACTCATAGACGAATGCTGAAGATAACCTAGACAGCAAGGAAAACTAAGGAAGTACTAAGGAGCGTCAACAAAGATAGAAAACTGCTAAAGACTGTTAAACATCGAAAGGTGTAAGAAGAAAACAAGTTTCTTGGTTAAAAAAACATTCGTCAATGGACTCAGATATCAAATGCAGGACAATTATTCCATATTACAGAAGACCGAGAAGCTTTCGCAATGATGATCGTCAACTTCGGATAAGTCTGATATGGCACACGAAGAAGAAGCACTCAGATTTTAAGAATTAGAACAACACAAACGCAATTAAAAATAGAGGAGGGTGGAGAAACAGGGGTACCTGAAAAAAACGCATCAATTCAGCCAAAATATTTATTACCTCAGACAACTTATTACTCAATAATAGCTTGGAACTGTAAAACAGTCGCTTAAGCAACTGACGACGCAAAACACACTGGCTTCGTTATGGCCGCCACGGCACAAAGGAATTCATTCTTAATGAGATTGGTGAAGGCATACGACACAAAACTACTCCTTTCAAAACTACAATATAGGGGCTTGGACTGTAGATTCAGAGTTAATCAATAATTATATACTATTTTTATCTCTTCTACATATTATATTTGTATCATCTATATTGTTCGTGTACAATGTAGGATTTAAAATTCAAATTGACACGTATTTTTTTACTAACAATAATTTTGTATTTACTACTAGTGACAATAACAATAAAGTCAAACAAAATCAAACAACAAATTAAGTCAATACTAGTTTATGATCACGTTCACGCTATTTATTATAGATAAGAATTTTTATTGTATTCGATTTATCATTGAGGATAATAAAACATTGTATTTAGCATATAATAATAGATTTATTTCTAACTGACGCAATATTAAAATTATCTATCTAAAATATTGATATTCTCTGTTTCTTTCCACAATAAATTCCACAGAAAATAATGTCACAAAATTGTACACCAGTTGTTTGGTTGTATATAGTGATACATATATAACTTTGGACACTATGAGAGCAATTACAGATTTTACTTTGAATATTATTCAAATGTGAGGAAAAATTTTCAAAAATAAAAATAAATTTTCCCATTTTTTATTTAAATACTTTTAACGAATATTAAAGTAGTCCTTTCAGTGGTGCTAAGATGGCCGCAAAAAATACATCCTAACCTTTTATTCATAATGGACTACCATGGGGAAATGAATCAAGACCATTTTTTATCGTGGTTTGAAAATCAACTATTAAAAAGTTTGTCTGAACCATCCTTAACTATCGTCGATAACGCTCCATACCATGGCATGTTGTTAAAGAAAACACCAAACATAAATAACCTAACAATAAACTGTCTTTTAATCAGACAATGTCGAAAAACGAGCTTTTGCAGAGTATTGCGCAGTAAGTATGTTAATGAGAGTTTAGTTCATGTTACCAATATTTATTTTTAGAAACAAACCACCTCCAAAACACATTGATTTAGCAGAACAATTTGGCCATAAAGTATTATGTCTGCGACCATCATACCACTGTATTTTCAATGCTACAGAATTAATATTAGACCAGGGAAAGGTTTTTTTCGTGAAAGTTAACCAGTCATGAAAACGACACTTAATTTGAGTAGTAAGAGAAATGCACTAGTACTTGACACTTTACCAGTAGTTGACATTTTTCATTTTAAGCATAAATAATAAGCGTTTCCAATTATTTTTAATGTAATTATTACAATTATAGTTAACTAGTGTCATCTATACATCTTCTCTGTAACTGTAGAATTATTTAACTTGAAACAGAAAATTCTCACCAAATTTTTGTCATAGTGTTGTGTGAACTTCAAGTGGCAAGTGGCAAGTTTTCTAAACAGAAGTATTAAGAAGGAAAGTTTAAAAAAATTATATTAATTGATTAAATTGTGAATGACTGTAGTTTTACATATATCACTATATTATATGAATATTAAGGCAACACCTTGCTAATGATTTAAGTTTGTTTTATTCTCAAAACACAAATTAGATTTGGTGTCAATTACTAATACACAAAAATACTAGTAGTTGACAAATGTGTCAACTACTAACCATTTTATACTGAGACTGTAAAAACTTAATTATTTTATTGGGATTTTCATTGTATATAATGTGTACATTTATATTTTAAATATCATGTAAATGTATCCACTGTATCTAGTAGTTGACACTATATCAACTATTGAAACACTTTGGATGTCAACTACTAAAACAAAAATTTAAACAGTTAAAAATATACCTCCTATAAATGTTCCGATATACAGAAGAAGCTATGGAGAAAGCTGTTGAGGAAGTACTACCTGGAAACCTGTTTCAGCAACAGCAAAAAAGTGTGGTATACCCAGAGTGACTTTGTTATACAAGTCAAAATGCAAAACTCCATGCAAAAGCAAAATGAGCCCAGAACCATACCTAAAGGAAGATCAGGAGAAGAAAGTTGGAAAGGTTCAACCTTCATACATACAACACACTGTGGTTCCATTGTACCATTGTCTTCTATTTGTGTAAAATCGTAATTAAGAAATTTTTCTTGGTATGCCTTTTTCTATTTACTGCCATCTTAAAGGAGACAGAAAATAATAGTTGTAAAATCCTTGAATTAAATTTTCAAAATGTGGCTTACCTTGATCTATATATCGATGATTAACGATAAAATGGTGGTCTTGTCAGCAACTAACTAGTAAAAACTCGCTCTCTGACTCGTCAATGTATTTGTATCTTAACGGCATGGCACGGACTGAGCAGGTAACTGGGGAACGGGTCTGTGCTTTACTGCGTAAAGATATAACTCAAAATCACTCTAGTGGTGTGGAGTGAGAAAAATACTAAGGTAACGGAACCAGTAGTTGACAGCTTAAGAAAAAATATATAAAAATCTGGCAATAAAACAGTTATTTGACAGTTATTAGACAGAATTATTGGTAAAGTAATACCAGCATTTAACAACCATGAATAGAAGACCATAACAACCAGTTTCAGTCTTCCCAATAGCCCACCATTCAGGAACACTGACAGCTAACTTTCTTGGAATTCGTTTGTAAGGGAACAGTATCATTGGAGGTGCCATCATTCTAGCTGTGTTTCCAGTTATAAAAATTGATAGGTATTTTTTGTCAACACTGTTGACCTGCTGATATACAGTTTTATCATATTTCTTTGCCAATACCTTTTGGATTTAGAAATAATGCAGACTCATATCCATTAAACACTTGTGAGGGATCATTCAAAACTTCCTCATACTTATGTTCTGTTGCAAATGCAACATAAACAATTAACTATATATAGTTAATTAAATTTTAAGGTTTTTTGAGGCCATTTGTAGATAGATTAGAAATCAAATTTAGAAAACAAAAAAATGAGGTGAAAGCTAAGTCCATTAGTTTCAAAATATACAAATCATTTTAATTTTATATGGCATAAGTCAGTTTAAAATATCGTGATATTCATTTCGTGATATATAAACTTGAGGAACATCTAAACTTTAATGTTCGAAACAAGTTAATTTTTAAAAATGTTACCTATTAATATTTTTTAAAAACCAAAATTACTCTCAAATTGGTTTCAAATGCTTCACTTTTAGCCAATGAATGAAAAAAGTAAAAATTTACCATTTTTTGACCTTAATTTGTTAATAATTAATTAAGTCCAAAAATTCGACTGTTGGAAATATATAGGTTCTTGTTACAGAGGTGCATACTACTGTTATTTGCTTGACCAGGTTAGTATTATGAAGAAAACCTTATTTCCCAGCTCTAATAGTGTTGGTTTCCTTCATAATTACTATAAAAGTAGAAGTCATTCAGTAATTTAGCATTTCTTTGGTTTCATACTTTTGATGATTTTTTGATGAGCTGTTCATTTGTTATCTTTAGCCGTCTATTTCTTCTATTATTATTAAGTAATCAAACCTTTCATCCTGCAAGAGCTCTTCTATAATATAATCCTTCTATTTTCTAATTTTATTATTTTTTACAGTTTTACCTGTTACCATCTACCAGTCTGCTTCCCTATTCACTTCTGGACATTTCTTTAATACCTTTATGGTTGTGGAACTTCTATATTCTTAAATATCATAGCATTTCTGATAAAATCATTATTCTATTCTTCCTTAACTTGAATATTTAATTGATGATCCAGTAATTTTTTTTTAATATGTTTGATACAATTAATTTTTGCCTATTTTTAGTATAATGCTTTTAAACTTCTTTCATCAACTGTGTTCTGATATTTCCTGTTATCACTTACGGTTATTATCAATTCTTTATTTTTTCTTTTTTTATTTCCAATCTTGTTTCTTTGTTTATCAATTCTAGAGATCTATATTGTAACAAAGGAGAAACAATACCAGATGGGTAGAAAACATATTTAAAAGTTAATGGTCTGACAAAAACATATGATAACGTAAGAGTATTGTATACTTATTTTAAATGCTTTGTATACTTATTTTGGTGATTTCCTCTACACTCAGTATAAAAAATCTAACCTAAACAAAGAGAATTCTCTCTATACTTGAAAAATGGGTTAGGTTAGGTTAAGTAGAATCATGCAATTCTGTTTTCTATGAGTTTTATTATACCAATAAATATAATAATATAAACCAACTTACCTGTCTTTTTATTTCCAAATGTTGGGACGAAGAATTTGGAGTTAAGATAGGTTTCTCTTCTTTAACAACATTGGCATCTTCAATGGTAACATGTCTAATTTTCCTGGGTTTCTCTTGAATTGAAGCTACTGATGATTCCAATGAATTTGTTGAGGATAAAGATGTTTGAATTGTTTGTGTTATGGGGTATAGAGATCCGGTTAGGCTCTTCTCATTTTTATTTAAAATTACACCATCTAGTAAAAACTTGACTGTACTAGCATTTTTGTTCAAATAATTGCATGTTAGTTGCCTGTGGTTTGGATGAAAGCCCAATGGATTACCTTGCAGATTTAGCCACTGAAGTGAAACTAGATGAGATATTGAAAGGAAGGCTTTATGATCTAACAAACAATTATGTCCTAAATCTAACTGTTGTAAGTTAGAAACTGATGTTAGACCATGGAGATTTTCTATAAAGTTATTATTTAAAACTAAAATTTGTAATCTAGACCTTATCTGGCCTTTAAATTCAGGGACATTTTCCAGTTTGTTGTATGAAAGATTCAAATGTTTCAAATTTGGAAGTAAATTTACAAAATTTGCTTTGTTCAGGTGATTATGGCTAAGATCTAAAGTATTTAAAGAGAGAGTACATTCAAAACTATTGTCAATTTCTACAATATTATTATATGAAAAATTAGCAGTCTTCAGTTCATTCCAGCTAAATGGTTGGCTGTTATCAGCACCACATTTTTCTAACACATCACTTATAGATTTTAAATTTTTGCTACAAGTCAGCTCTTGAATTTGTGATCTAAGTTTCTGTAAACCAATCACAATATGCACATCTAATTTAATAATTTCTAGAGTCCTTATGTTTTTGAACTTCGTTATGTCCACCACAGTATATTCAGTAGTTTCATCGGGAGTAAGCTTTAAGCTGCCAGTCTTCTTAATTAGATCCAACAAAAACTGAGTGTCTCCGATAAGATTACTCTTTGTGTTGCTTGTTTGAACAATATGAAAAGAATTCACATCTTCTTCGATGTTCGCGTCAATTGCATTGTTCAATTTGTTTAAATAATTTGCAGATAAACACAATTTACCTTTGCCTGAAAATACATCACGGCTAGTTGGTCGCAAAATATTTGCAAGGTGAATTATTTCTGTCTCCATTATTTACATTTTTATCACAACAAACATTTCCATTCACAGTAGGTGTCACTTGTGTCAGTGTCAAGTGAAGTTTCATATGAAGGTTATGTCAAATTAATTCTTCTTTTTTATAAAAACAACGACAAAGTTTAAGACATTTTATCAGTTTGTTCCATAAATATTTTAAATGTTAAACCTTGGATGGCTTGCGTCGTTTACACCGCAAATGATATTAAATATTAGTACTTTTAATAGAAAAAACTTGTCACATATACCATACCTGGTTTTACTGTCTCCTTGGTCTGATCTTCCAGTCTATTTTTTTGTTCAAAACGAGTATTTTTGGGATGTGTTTGAATTGAAGTTACACTCATTGCCCATTATGTTTTCCTCAGATTTTTTAAGCAGCTTTGGTGTATTCCCCGAAAGTAGAACATCTGTGTTGTTGTTAAAGTGTATTCCCCGTGAGTAGTAACATCTGTGTTGTTGTTAAATGTAGATCAGATTGGACAGATTCCACTACGCTTTCTTGGTATATGCAATATACTTTTTAGTTACAATAGAATCTTAAATGGCAATATTTAATTACCTTTTTTTTGTTATAATTGACCTTTGACTAAGGCTTTCAATGCTTAAGAGCAGGAATACTTTAACATTTTATTCAGTAAGAAGGATCTCACAGGTACTTTCCGAATGTAGTAAATAAAATACACAAGAACTTTATTATTAGTTATTACTTAAAATGACTTTCTTTCGGATCCATAAAATGTTAATTCAGTATCGTTTCATAAAGGGCAGACGTTTAGCGAACCTCACGCCCGTGGGCGCCGGCAATGGGCACATGAATCTGCCAACATAATACAAATTGTGAAATTAATTACACAATGGCCGGCGCATATTATTCAGAAATGGATTATTCTTTTTGTAGGTTTTATATAATCTATATTATGTATTAAAGGTATTGAGTAACAACCATTAAATAATTGTGAGTAATTAATGCATTAGACATTTCATTTCAGAAATTAAGGTCTTTAAACTATATTTTGTATTTAGTATAGTTCAGATCTCTTTAGTTGTTTTGTTTTTGTATTATTTCGAGTAGAATTTAAATCGGGCCAAATAATAGTGCATACTATTCCTTGGCCAAATATAGATAATAAAACAGTCTCAATAAAAAGGAATTATTATCGGAAGGATAATAAAGTATTATTATCGTTTGTTTCATGGTCTATTTTAATTATTCACACTAGCTTCCGAAACTTTTGTCAAAATACTACATAATGTAACTACATCGCTTACATTCATATTTTGTTATCTGGCTCTAAGTCCCTCAAACACATTTCCGATCATAGTTTTTTCTTCGGGTGTTAAATTGTGACGTTTCTTGTTGATATAGGTACGGTTCACTATACTGCGAGGGGAGATTGATATAAAACTAGCCTTTAATATAAAAAAACAAGTTTTTTGGAATTAAATCATTTATTTTCAACATAGTCCCCTTTTAGCTCGATACACTTAGTAAGACGATATTCCAATTTTTTTATCCCATCCGAATAGTACTTTTGCTCGAGCTCTTCAAAATAGGCCGGAGTTTCAAGAGACGACTTCATCATTTGTTGCGAAACAGCGTCCTCTGAGCCATTTTTTTAGGTTTGGAAACGGGAAAAAATCGCTGGCGGCAAGATCTGGGAAATACGGTGGGTGTTCAACCAATTCATAGTCCAATTCGTGTAATTTTGCCATGGCGACAGCCGATCGGTGAGCCGGCGCATTGTCTTAGTGAAAGAGTATTTTTTGCGTTCCAACCGGGGCGTTTTCGATGCAATTCGGCATAGAATCGATCCAATAATGCTACGTAGTACTCACCATTTACTGTTTTTCCTTTTTCCAAATAGTCGATGCGGATTACGCCCTTCGCATCCCAGAAAAAGGTCGCGATCACTTTGCCGGCCGAATGTGCACGCTTTGCCTTCTTCGGCGGCTCTTCGCGGCGTATGCGCCACTGTTTAGACTATTGTTTGGTTTCCGGTGTGTAATAATGCACCCAGATTTCATCAACGGTGATAAATCGGCGAAAAAAATCCTTCGGACCGCGCCGTATCATCGCCAAAAGCGTCTCCAAATTGGGCACACGTTTTTGCATTTGATCGATTGTCAGCAAAGCGGCACCCATCGCGCGGATAGCTTTTTCAAGTCCAAATGATTGTGAATGATGCGTACGCGTTCGTAGGAAATGTTTAGGACCTCCATTAATTCGTGGAGCTTAATTCGACGATATGCCATAATCATGTCATGGACTTCATTTGGCCTCCCGGGACGCTCATCATCAAAAACACTCGTACGACCACGAACAAATTCAGCTTTCCAAAATTTTACTGTTGCTAACGAAGGTGCCATCTTAATAAACTTCGTCCACATCGGCTTTGATTTGCACATTCGGTTTACCTTTTTTGCAGAGGAACTTAATCACCGAACGATACTCGATTTTTTCCATTTCTCCGAAAACACAAAATTGGTAAAAACCAAACTAATTGTTTTTAAAACTTAAAAAATTGACAGACGTCATGTCATGAATGGCAAATGTCAACACCGAAACCAATTCGGTATCAAGTAGCGCCATCTATCAAAGGCTAGTTTAAGGTCAATCTATCCTCGTACTGTCAGTCATATTTATTATCTGTCACCAAATTGAATTAAACTAAATGACTCACAATTCACAAAAAGTAAACGTAAAAGCTCCTTCACTAGTAATAATACTACAAACAATTCTGTTCTTTGCTTTACGAAACCCTTGTCAGTGCGCTTATGAAAGCGACGTACAGATAACAGACAATAAAATTACTATCTGAACAATGGCGTTGTTGCAGTTACATCGCCGTAATTTGCGATGATGTTGTTGATCGCAGACATTATCTACAATTAGAGAAAGATATTAACTACAACATTACAGATAACTTCAAGTTGAATCATATACGCTGACATTACGTTTTTTTTAGAACCCAAATCTTTGACAAAAATTTTGAACAGTTTAAAAATTTACAGTTAAATGTTAAAAATTTACAGTTAAATTTACAAATGAACAGTTAAATTGAAGATTTCATATAAAATGAGATCACATCTCAACGCATATTTTTTGAACAGCCAGAAGAAGGTTTTCGTCAATTTTTAAGAGATTTAAGAGATTCTGCAATAGTCTTCCAATTTAGTTATTAAATAATTATTAAATTTTCTCTTTGGTCAGAACAAAAATATTTTTTTCTATAGAATAAACGTCCAATTTTACTGGCCTACAAAAAATAATTAAAATATGAGTCACTTTCTACAATTGTGATCATTGTTTGTAGGTCAATTTTTTTCACAGTTTTAGGTAAATCAAAAACACTTTGTAGCTGGATGGTATTATTTCCATTCATTTCTGTAAAACAAAATCAATAAAATTTAAAACACAACATGTATTTTCAAATAACTAATTTAAATTATACAGGAACTGGTCTAATTGTTCTAATCAAAAGCAAATCTTTACAAATCAAGTTAATTATAAAGGAGCCCTTCAACTAGTACCTCTCAACATTATCAGACCATCATCACGATACACTCAATAATATAGAAAAATTATAAATAAGCTTCTCTTATAGTTTATGCTTAATAACGAGAGTTCAGCAGCTCTCGCTTTTAGTTAATTTTAAAAAATTTTGATACCGACTCACAGCACTTCTCGTCACTCATACATACATAAGAAAACTCAGTTCCTGTTTTCTTCTGAATGATTCTTGCATCAATGAAAATTTCCTTTTTTTGTTTGAAACTGTAATAATATGGGCACTTTTAAAAAACGAATCTAACTTCTTCAGAACTGAAAACCCCCCATTGGTAGTGATTGATCTGAACTGAACTGATATTGTTGATGATCGGTATCTATTGATGGAGCTATGTTTGAATCCTCTTCTTCGGTGCCGAAGAAATGTTCAATAATGTCAAATGCTTTCTGGTAAATCTCCATATTTTCGTGCGACTGAAGAAATTCTATCTTGTCTAGACCTAAATTAAAAAAAAATTAAATAAACACATGATTAGTTTCATTAACTTTAACATATTTATAATATAAAACGAAAAGTAGAAATCAGAAGATTTTTAAGTGTTTGAACCTTCTGCAATTAATTAAATTTGGGCTTCTACAATTTTCAAAGCAAGCAGGCGATGAATGGATCGACATGAGGAACCTAAAATTGCATTCCAGTACATATAGATTCATCTAGACAAGAACCTTTCTTGAACTAGTGAACAGAAATTGACAAACTGGAAAAAATTAGTAACATATCAAAACCAAAGTAAAATATGTCAAGAATTAAAATAAACTCAAACCAAATTACATCTATCTGTGATAATGTACACATTAAAAATGTGAAATAAAGATCATTATAAAGTCATTAGAAGCGGATCAGTTTGAATCCCCATAAAAACCTACATCATGTAGCTGTTGCCAGTATCTGTCGTGAATTTCAAACAGGATATGACTCTTGGTATGCAAGTAAAACGTGTTAAATGTATTAAACTATCATCTGAACCTAAAACAAAACTGGTTTTGTGGCATGGACCCAATTATCTTTCTTGGCCAAGAAAGGAACCGCTGATTACCACGACGAAATGGACGGGGATCTATATGAAGAATGGTTTGAAAACGCATTAATTCCAAACTTGCCGAAAGACAAAGAAAACATTGTAGTTTTGGATAAGGCGTCATACCACTCCCGCAAATTTGATTTCCCGAAAAAATTGTGGAACAAAATTCAAATCAAGGATTAGCATTGGCACCATAAACATTGAACTTTATTAAATGTAAAAATAAGATGCTTACCGTAGCACTCTTCTATTAGAACTGCATACGGATTAGTGCCATTCTGTAACTTAGCATCCTCTTCGCCTAACTTCAAAATATTCTCTAATCCACTGAGAGCTACTATAACAATCTTTGCGTCCATAACTGTTAACAAATCACACATCGGTCCGATGCAATTTTGACTAACGAGGTAACGAACTTGATCCGGAGCGCCTCCGCTAGTGGCGTTGGTAATAGCCCAAGCTGCTTCTTTTTTCGTTTTGAATTCTGATTTGCTCAAAATTTCAATGAGGAGAGGGAATATGTTGGCATCTATAACAGCCTGAAAACCAAATTACAAATCTCATAGATTAATTATTTTAGTATGATTGATTCATGGGTGGAAGAATATATTTTCTTAATTTGTAGGTGAGTGGTTTATTTCCCATAAATTGGTAGAAGCTTAAAGACGTTTTATAAAAATCACATTTGACATTTTTTAAGCTCCTTATTCGAATAAAGGATTAAGATTATAATTAGGTAGCATTCACAATAGAAAATGTCCAATATGATTTAATGTTAAAAATGTGTTCAGAAAATCAAAAAATAACCGCTTACCTGTATTTGTGTCCTATTACCAGCCGTTATGTTACTAATAGTCCAACAAGCTTCCTTTCTAATTGATTCCTTAGATGAAGAAAGCAAGTGATGCAAACATGGTAACGCAGAACAATTAAGAATAACTTGGGTCTGTACATCGTCTCCTGTGACAATATTGCCAACAGCTCTAAGCGCAGCAGACACTACATTCGGTGGTTGTGCCATCAACAGCTCTACCAAGCGTCTGCACACTCCTGCATCTACCACCGCCTTTAAAACATATTTATAAATGATAATCAATAATTTAATTTAATGATTTAATTTAAATGTATTAAATTGAGGGTTGATCTCTGTGAAGATGAACATGACAGATAAACATTCCTTGATTAATGTCACAATTGAAGAAAATGTTAAAAAAGTCCATGATACCATTCTAAAAAATTGAAGAGTCATTTTGCATTAAATTTTGCAGCAAACAGGCTTTTCAGTTCATGAAGCTTAAAACTTTACATCCAATGTTTTAACTATGAAGAAACCAACAGCAAGATGGGTTTCTGGAATACTTTTAGCTGATCAGAAGCTTACCAGAGAGGACATATTATGTTCACAGGTTCACAATATGTATTGATGATTGATTATTTAGAAAAGAAACTATATAACAGACACTTACTATGAGCAATTAATGCCAAAATTGCGTGAAGCCATAAAAAAAGAGACAGGGAAAGTCCAGGAAAAGTATGCTCTTCCTTCAGGAGAACATACTAGCACACAAGACCTTAGTTGCAATAACTGATATTCGAATGACAGGTCTCGAAATTGTGAAACATACCCTGTGTTCTCTAGATTTGAGACAGAGTAACTAGAGGCTGCACACAGAACTGTATGAAGATTTTAGAACCAATGATGAAGTGATGTGTTTCTTAAATAGGTGGTTTGACACAGTAAAAGCAAGTCTATTCAAAGGTTGCTGTCAACATGTTGGAGCGCCAATGGGAAAAGTGTGTTAAACTGAGGTGGGCTATGTTAAAAAAGAAAGATGTCAAAATTTTCATGTAGTGTTATTTGTAGGTCATTGGTGGACCATAAGAATCAACTTTCTTAATACGATAATGAATATTCATGTTAAAATCTAGATAATATAGAAAAAATATAATTGATCACAATAATTTACCTGTATTTTCTCGTTAGGCCCATCAGATAAATAACTCAAAGACCAGCATGTATCCGCCAGTACATCAGGATCTGTGTGAAATAGTAATCTAGACAAAATTGGTAAACAAGGCGCGAGTTTGGAGAAATCCGGAGGTGGATTCTTGCCTCTGCACAGATTGGAAAGAGCCCACACTGCATTTCTTGTCATTGTTAAGCGAATTGGTTTGCTAAGTATTCTGTAAAGAAAGAAAATAATTTTGATTGGAAAATCTATTAAATGTGTAGTAACTGCCAAGTGATCAGTACCGAAACAGATCCACTACTTATAATATAACCCATGCATAAAATGAAACAATCGCCTGTGTAACTTTTTCAGTGTATTGCAATAAGTTTGACATGCTTCAGTTTTTAAATATCTATTTACAAAAAGATAAAATCCAACCAATGTGAAATTTCATTAAGTTGATTAATTGTAATTAAACATAAACCAAGTAAACAGTTTTTTAAGTATTATTAATGATCAAGTACGAAACAAATCCCACAAAGGCATCTCCAAAGAACCCAATAAATCCGTAAATAATTTCGTTGTGGTTTTAACTAACCCAGGTAATTTCTGAGAAAAAGTCTGCTATGAAATCACGAACTCAGTATAAACAAATTTAATCTTTATTGGGGGGTTATACCTTTTTCTTCTTTTGCCTTTACAAGTCTAAGTAATTCTTTGCCTGCCTGACTATTCCTTCTATTCAAACATCTTTTGTGCATTTCTTCTTCATCCTCTTACTTTCATCATCCTCATTGTCCATCAACTGTCTGGTTCTAGGTGTTCCTTTCTTTTGCTTGCTTTTTTACTTTTAATTGCAGAATTTTCATAGTTGTGTTTGTGTCTTTTAACATCTGGACATGTCCCGGCTTCTTACCTCATACAAAAAGTACAATATCACAATTCATATACATCACTAATCTCATGGTTTTTCACCTTTATCCATATACCTTTCTCAAATCTCTCTCAAATATCTCAAGTTCTTCTTTATCTTTTTTGTCATAATCCAGATTTCACATCCAGAGCTTGTTCACACCTGGGGCTAATTAGAATTCTTAATTGATCATTTTGGTTTTTCTATCTATTAATTTGATGTCACATACTTGGTTTTTTGTTTAATTGATTTAGTCCTCTTTTTGTGCTTCATGATCAATTTCCCCTTTAACACAGTTACATCATCTGTATATGCAGTGATTTGTGCTGACTTGGTGTTTATATGACCAGTTAAAATGGCTTTTCGGATGATCTTTTAGGGCAACAGGTTGATAGTATGTGTCCTCGTCACTCCCACATAATTTAAAATAGATTTATCAATTATCTATCTCCTCTGTCACTTTTAACAGATGCAGCGTCATTTTTATGAGGGTGATATATTTCTCAGATATATCCAGTACATAGAGGTTATCCAGATTAATATTCCTCTCTAAAATTCATCACCTTAAATTTATCATAAATTTGAAGCTATTTTTCTTCTTAAACATTGATTGAATTTCAATGTTTTTTTTTTCATATTATAGGTCTATTTTTAAGGAATTATTGTACCAATGTTTTCTGAGAAATGTCAATGTTTTACCCATATATGGAATGTAAAAATAGAGTTGTATTTTTCAAATTATGTTGTAACACACTGTGGAATTTATTAGAAATAAAGCTTGCAACTTATTAATATTGCAAGATAGCTTTTAACATAGTAAAAAAATCATCTTGATATCTCTATTATCAAAAGTTATACAAAACTTTTTGTATAATCCTATTAAAGAAAATAGCTTCAGCACAAATTATTTTCAGCACTTTACAATGTATGAGCCACAACACAGCTCACAAAAAATAGGTCTGTAAATGCTTTTCTAACAAGTTAATTTATTTACTGTTAAATGTAGCATGCTTTTTCAACAGGTGTAACGTAAGCTGATACCTATATTTGAAGCCTCATGAATAATGGATATTTTGATTGGATAATTCACCAGAACATGTTATAAAGCAATGACTATAATCATTTTCAGCAACCTACATAACACATACTTCTTTCCTTCTAGCAAAACTGTTACACCTCAATACTTAAATGACATTTGATTCATGTTTTTTAGAAATATATTAAATGTTTAGAGTAACCTTCAATAATATAGTTAACAAAGTCAAGTTATACCAGGAGCTTTTTAATAATGTGTAAAATCATTACAAAGCTTGTTTATAATTGAAGCACATATTGATCATCTTATCTAGTATAAAAATTAATAAACATGTATATAATAAGTATTGTAGCTGTAAATAAATTTGTAGAATGTGAAAGAATATAAACTTACTGTAAAAGTGGTACTAAAATTCCTGCTTCAGTAACAGTATCACGACATTCTGGAGAATCTCCTGCAATATTTCCTAATGCCCAAACAGCTTGTTCCTAAACAAATATTTACTCAAATTATTTAAATCGCATGTAATAATATATTTTACAGGAATAAATAAATTTAAATGCATATTTTTAAATTAAAAAATGTATGTTTTATAAACAATAATATGAAAAGAATGTTCTCTGCAACAAAAATAATAAAACACTAACCTGGACATCTTCATATGAACTTCCTAAAAGTGATATAAATATTGGTACGGCCCCTGTTTCAATTACCATTCGTGTTTGTTGAGAAGTTCCCGATGCTATGTTGGTTAATGCCCATGATGCTTCAAACTGGAAAATATATTTACATTAGGTTCTTAAGTGATAAAGCCAATGACGAATTTTTAAAAAACTTAAAACATACTTGTCTCAAAACTTCAAACATAGTTTTTCTATAATTATGTTTTTCTTAATTGGCACGCAAGTCCAACTATTTTCATTATATACACCCTGATGTTGACTGTATCTTTAAAATAACCTTCTAAAGAGAAATGTGAGGATGTATTCCTGGATATATTAGCCTACTATAGAATAAAATAACATTTGAAAGTCAAATATCTCTAGACCTTTTAAAAATAATTGTCTTGTTCTGCAAAGCAGGCTTTCACAGCTTCTACAATCTCTTCAAACAGATGTAGTGAATAAGGAGGTGTTAAGAGTAATTTGAACCCTACATCACGAATGGTTTGCATTGCAACAAACAATTTGTATTCAGGGACATTGCCCTGCAAAAAGAAAATACTTTTGGACAACTTTTCACACATTCCATCCATATTTTTTTCTTATAAAGTGGTTAGTAATGTCAAATAACAATTGATCTACCCTTATCCAGAATATCAATCATGATTCATCATCAGTGGCATTGCAGCTCGTTATGAGCCAAAGCCTTCTTCAGAACAATCTTCCATTTGCCCCTGTCTCTGGCAACTATTCTCCATGATTTAACTCTGATGGATTTTAGATCATCCTCTATGTTATCTTAATATCTAAGTTTGGGTCTTCCTCTGGTTTGTCTTCCCACTGTTCCTCTTCTGTCAAAAATTTTTCTGATCGTTGCATCTAATTACATGTCCTATCCATTGAAGGCGTGCTATTTTAATACATTTTACAATCTCAGGTTCCCCAAAACTTCTGTATAACTCAAAGTTGTAGCGCCTACGCCACAAACCTTATTCTTGGACTCCTCCATAAATTTTCCTTAGAATTTTTCTCTCGAAACATTTAAGCAATTCTTGGTTGTTCTGTGTAAGTGACCACATTTCTGACCCATATGTTAACACTGGCCTTATTAGTGTTTTATATAATATGGTATCTTTAATTTTTCTGGGTAATTTTTGGAGCCATCTGTTTCCTCAAGCCATAATAGCCTTATTGGCAAGCATTATTCTTCTTTTAATTTCTCATTTCTCAAGCACTATTCTTCTTTTAATTTAATCAATCGTGATTACTCCTTGACAATCTCAAAAGTCTGAAGCAAGAGCTTTTCCAGTAGATTTTTGTATGAAAAATTGCTTGAGTCTTGAAAAACCAGAGTACCTCCACTACATCCATATAGTCTTTCACTAGTTCACTACCGTACAAGTAGTTTGGAACTATTTCTTTCAATTGTATGTTTAGGTTTAAATGGTTTAAATTATTATATGATTAGTTAGTTTTTATTTGCAAAAAATTATTAAGATTTGTTTTTTATTAACTGTTTTAAATATAAATATGGTTCAAGTATGATTTATTTTTATATTTACGTATATTTAAACTAATAGGTATTTATAATTAGGTTATTTCTAAAAGAACCTTTACAAAAAAAAATCAGTGAATTTTCTAGGAACATTAAATAACACATTTTCATTCTTACTTTTACATAAAATTATATTTTATGTAAATGCCTCAATCATTTTAACCACAACTAAAATTTTTATTTCAAAATTACAATACAAGAAACAACACAGCATGGCAACATCCAAGCCAATACATGGGCATAAGATCCAAACCATTATGACATTAAGATAAGACCTTATAGTATTGTCACATTTATAAGAATTATGAATCTGTTATCTGAGACTAATCAGCATTTTTTTTAAACTAGTTAGTCCATCCATTCACAAAATAATAAATATAATATGTTCTAATTCATTCATTCATTATTTTCTTCTTTAGAAGTTGAGACATAATTTATAATGCAAATCGTTCGCAGTGAACTAGTTCTATGAAAATTAATGAACTAGTTCAATTAGTTCAGTTGAAAGAATCATTCATTAGAACTATTTTGATGGTGAACTACACATCCCTAATAGAAATAGATAAGATATAGTACATATAAAAACCGTCCTTCCCATTCAGACTGCATCTTCAAAATTTAACTCTTTTGCTTGCAAAATAATATTTTTTTTTTAGATTATTCCACATAATTTTTACATAAACCATTTAAAAATAATATTTTTTTTTTTTAGATTAAAAATGAAATAATTAAACTAACAATCAAAATTATTATATTTTAATATCCAAGATCTATAGTCTATCAATTTCTCTTTTAAATTATAAAACTCAAATATGAATCCTTAATGAAGGCATTATTATAATAACTACGCATTTCTTTGACATGTGGGCTTTGTTATGTTATACCTAATATAGATAGTTATAGTCTATGTAACTTTTCCAAGTCCAACTATCTACCTAAATAAGTATTATCATATACTGGATCTATCAGATCTTACCTGAAGTGTACAGTTGGATGAATTCTGCAAGAATTCAACAAATCTTGGTACAATTCCTGTCTGTATGACTTCATCAATTGGGGGATTAGGTTCCCTGCTAAGCAGTTTTCTAAACTTTTGGGTTGCTTCCAACTGCAGTTCCGGATCTGTGCTGTATAAATTTTTTATCATATCTTGAGTGATCCATGTTGACACTGGAGATGTGCTATCTGGATCAAACTATAACAAATATAACAAAAACATATTATATTAACTACATTATATGTGAAAATATAATTGAAGATTTGAAATTTGTATTCAAAATTAATTTTAGATAAAAATAATACTGTATAATTGGGGAAAATTAAAATCATTTAGGGTTTAATTGAGAAAATACTATGATTAAAATACATATGTATATGATCTTGTAAGTTCATATGTTACAATCTTAAACAAAAGTAATATTTCTTATTCTAGAGATCATTGAAGATTTTGAACCAACATGTATGCCTTATGTGTACTGTATGTTTTCCATTTGTAGATCTAGCTCTACTCTCTCTACAATTATTGTGTTATATGAGTGTTGATTTGATTGCCATATGCTAATGGTTTCTAATATTTTTTGTGCATTAGGGTTATAGGTTCTTGTAATGTGTATAACATTTACATCTGTTTCCCATTGTTGTATATTTTAATGGTACCACCATATTAAGTTAGTTTCTTATAGCAATTAAATTATTTTTCTAAAGCTTTATTTTATAATTTGCAATTAATTTCCAAAAATGTTTAGTGTCTGTATGTAAGATCTCTACATTAATATTTAGATTAATATTAAATACTGGATAAATAAATATATTCATATAAGGTTGAATGTTTGAATAAATGAATTTTAGTCAAATAAAAGGCAGATGATATTGAGCACAGTTTATTTACTAAATCTTGCCCAACTACTTTCACTCCTAGCACATCTTCAGGGACACCTTTTATTTGATTAAAATATAAATATTATTATCTTTTTCGAATGCTGTTTATTTTCTGTTAATGGTTTAAACCCATATCTATACAAAATTGGAACAGTTTCAAGATATTTTCTTCTTATGATGCCTCTCAGTTCTGGTTGATGGAGATTAACATTGCTGTCCTTATGTCGCTGATAGCTATTCAGAATAGTCCAGTAGTAGACTTGTTGAACCATTTTCTTGGGTTCTGAAGCAAAGAAATTCTTCTCCCTGGTCCTCTTTTGCCATACACTTTGCCCTAAAGAAAGAGTTGTAACAAACCATACCTTTGCTCATTTCTCATAATATGGCACAAATATTCTAATTTGAGCTCTTTGATATATGAACAATTTCATATTCCTTATACAAAATTATTATGTTAATAAGACATTCAATCTTCTGAACTTTCCCCATCTTTGAAAAAGTAATTTTTAAAAAGTGCAGAATAAGGAATCTCTGTGATTTCCCTACCTTTTCAAAACTATTTTTTATAACATAGGGGATTTCCCTATTAGTTGATGTATTAATAAAAGATAAATTGTGTCATCGAATTTATTTTTAAGTAAAATATAAGTGCATTTTGATTTTTTTTCTGAAATCGGTGGGTCCAGAGTATTTTTGTAGATCAGTATATAAGTACCAAATTTGGTAGATCTACCAAAAAATCAGTAGAGGGAACATCACTGACTGTTCCAAGTATATTTGGTTTAAAGCACCCATAGCCAAGATAAATTGTTATTTAAACTTATTTGTTTACCTGCATATTATAACCCTAATTTACAAGAATTACTTTCATCTCTTTGTAATAGGATAAAATTTTTTGTAAATTATGTGATTCCCCTGCATTGTTATGTCTAAGGCCCATATACTATATAAAATATTTGGGCTTAAAACTAATTTAAATATACTCATACTTACAGAAAGAGGATCATCTTCAGGTAATAACTGATTAACATTTACATTTCGTCTTTTATTCAACTGTTGGTCTCTTTTAGCTTTTCTTAACTGTACACCTTCTTCTTCTCTACGCCTCCTTAATTCTACACTATCTAATGCAGCATTTTTATACCGGTGCCTATGGGCTGACCCAGACATCTGAAATATCAAATCAAGCAGTATAGACAAAGATATTAATTTACACACACTTCCTCTTTTGATTTAATCTATTTATTTAATACAATTGGCTAAATAATGATTATCACTAAGTAAAAGACAGAACTTAAAATAATTGTAATAGAATATGCTGTGGTCAAAGAATGTCAAAAATGTGGAGGCACTGAAAAGGATGAGGTAATTCCGCCAAAACAGAATTTACCGAAGAAAAATATATAGCAATAAAATTATTCCAAAAATACTTACTTTTGTTTTAATGTATTAAATTAATCTGAAAATGCAATTTATAGCACCATTTACCTTGTTTTAAAAGAAAATTTAATATTCTCGTAGAAACGAGAAAATTTAGTGCTGACAATGAATAAATGTCAAATGTCATTTCTTCTTCTGTCTGATTCATTCTTCTTCTAGGCTTTTCTATAAATTTTAAATTTTTGGTATTGGTTTATAACATTTTAAACAATTTTTTAAGCGCTAGTGCATTCAAGATTCATTTATCAATGGAAAAACTACATATATATTTTTAAAAAATGTAAATTACTTAAAAAAATTAATTTATAACAAACTGATAAAGTAAATTGTGTCGGAAGTAAGAAGAAATCTGTAGGTAGTTTGACATTAACTTAAGAATTTAAAACAGTTGCCAATAGATGTTAGAGTGGGAACATAAAAAATAAGTAAATGGCACTATAATTTAAACAACAAACCCTCCTGATAATCAATACCATCATAAAATAAATCCTAATGTGGTTTGTATTAATCGTACCTTTGTTATACACCTAAGTATTATTTAACCTTGAATTGTACAAATAATGATGACTTCAGAGGATGAAAACCATTTTATGGAAGTGAGTATTTAATGAAATTAAATAGTATAAATATTTGTATTAATTGAAATATTTTATTTATAGAGAAACGGCAGTAATGAATCAGTACAAGTAATAGTTCGTTGTAGGCCTCTTAGTGTTAAGGAAATTGATTCAAAATGTTCCAGTGTAGTCAAAATGTACCCCTCAAGGGGAGTTATAGAAGTAGAAAACCCTAGGGCAAGAAGTGATAATGAAAAAAATAAATTATTTACATACGACTGTGTTTATGATGAAAAGTAAGATATTCTTGGTAATGTTAAAGTTGTTGTCCTTTATAATAATGACACAAAAACTTATCTTCAATAAGTATTTTCATTGCCAAATTAATTATGTACCCACTTTTACTTTTTTGGTCAATTCTCCATCCAGGGTCAAATCTGAATTTGTTTTAAAATATGTTGTACTTAAAGTATTCTTCCTATTATTGACTTGTTTATAGACTCATAGTGAACTGATTTCTGATATTTTTATTCTCCCTAATCACCCTAAAGATAACAAGCAACTGATTTTTTTTATTGGAAATAAATAATAAATCATTCAAAAATTATGGTAAATTTTCAAAAAATATTTGATACACAGGCACACGTTACTGTGTAAGATCAGATACTTAAATTTATGTAAGGGTTGTAATTACCATTTAAAATATGATGTACAAAAAGTTATAACTGGTAAAAAAATTTTATGAAAATTTTTAATTTAGTTAAAAATTATGTAATAGATGAATAAAGTCACATTGCGGTGGTATATAAATCTTATATATAAATTTTGTTATCAATTACTTGCTAGCGTCTTCATGAATTTTTAGTAGTGAATTACATAGATTTATAGCAACTTTGTGGTTTGTAAGCACGTTAAGTAGATTCTGACTCTTAAAAGAGCATATTTTTTATTTTTAAAACAGTATATGTTATTAACATCTGATATTTTACTGTTTTTTTAATTGTAGAGTATTAAAATTTAGCTGTAAAATATTTATATTTTAGAAATAATCTCTATACACATAATATAACGTAAATACTTACGTTAAAAATATTTACTCCTCTAGTAGATGTCATTTTGGAAGTGAATGCAATAAACTACCTAGGAAAACCATACAGAACAAATATTTTATTTTTTATACATATTTTTACATATAAGTATGTGGAAATGTCCCCTTAAGGATTGAAAAATACACTATTTATTTCAAATTCAATGTTTCCATTGAGTATTTTAATACAGATTGGCAAAACTATAACAATGTGTATAATTTTTTAAAAAAGAGCCATATAAGTGAGTTACTTAAAAGTAAAATTTATAATGCCATTACAATTTTAAAATTGATGTGCTTTATTTGTCTGGAGAATCTAGATGAATTATTGAAACAAAATAAACAATATTAAAACTGAGCATCAGAACAAATTGAAAAATGATAAACCATAGGAAAATCCAATTAGAAAATCTAGCAATAAATGGTATTAAAGAAGAAATTGGAAATAAACTTATTATAGATATAAGCATAAAAAACAGCTGTTTGTTTATAAGAAAGTTTCAGTTTTGTTAGAAAAATAATACCTGAAAGGTTATTACAGGAAAAATAAAAAAGGGGAGACTATATTAACTATTCTAAAATTAGTTACTCACTTAACACAACCAGTTAATAAGGATTTTGTATGTGAACTACATCAAAAGAAAGGATGTTTTTTTTTTATATTTAGTTGTAAGAAAGTGAAAACTTATAAAGCCTTTAATAATGTCTGCCACAATTGCAGACATAACATTAGAAAGAACTAATTCCAGGCAATGGTATAGAACTTATTGAGAATTAGGGCGAAATGTTTATTAAGTACAATTTTCATACATTTTTTTTTATTTTGAGTAACACAATACATCTTACAATTAAATTAAATGTTAAAACTGCATGTCATTAAATTCCTGAATAATTCTTCGAAAACTCAATGTTTCTTGGAGAATGAGTCTTACCTCATTTCGAATTGTATGTTTTAATTCTTCAATATTTTCTGGTATATTTATGTATACTTTATATTTAAGATAACCCCAAAAGTAAAAAAATCAAGGAGGGCTAAATCAGAAGATCTTGCTGGCTACTCTAAATTTCCTTGCCCACCTATCAATCTGTTGGGAAGAACAGATTTAAATAATCACACACTATCATTAGATAATGGGGTGGTGCGTCATCCTGTTGAAACTATATTAAATTACTAGGAATATTTGAATTTTGGTTATCTGGATATAGCGTAGCGATTGCGAGGATAATATCGTTTTGAAGCATTTTTAAATTATTTTTTACAGTCAATGTTCCTTCAATAAAAAATGGCGCGCCAAAATATTGTTGCTAACAATTCCTGCCCAAATATTAACTTTTTCTGGATATGTGGGTCATTATTACATCGCTAGATTCTTCTTCAAGTGCCATCTCCGTGACGGAGGTCGGCAATCATCATAGCTACTCGGATTTTTGAGACAGCTGCTCTGAAAAGTTCATTTGATGTACATTCGTACCACTCTCGCAGGTTGCGCAGCCACGACATTCTACGCCTCCCTATGCTTCTTTTTCCTTGGATCTCTCCCTGTGTAATCAATTTAGCAAGGTGTATTTCTCTCCACATCTACTATGTCCAAGATATTCCAATTTTCTTGTTTTAATTGTATTTAAAATTTCTATTTCTTTATTCATCCTTCTCAGAACCTCTTTGTTTGTGACATGTTGTGTCCACGATATTTTCAGAATTCTCCTGTATATCGCTTCATTATTATTTCGCAAAATTCCATCCTCCGATCATAATCGCCATCGTTGAGCTCGTTGAGCATCGTTACGGGTGCCACTTATATATTTTTTAAATATTTCAAAACCATAGATTCGCGCAGTGAGTTTTCCACTGCAATTTTTTTACTGTGGATATTCTTGCTGAGTTAATAACAAATTCAACTGCTCATCATCACCAATTGCAGGACCACTTTTATAATTATTTTATTACTTACAATTGATTGATTAATAGAACGATCTTAAGACTTAAGCATCCATAATTCACAAACTTCCTCTTGTATCCGAGACATCACACGCTTATATGATTAAAATTTCAATTCATTCTTTCTCACATGAATGTACCATTATTTATAAAATTCACAATAAGGTACATAGTTAAAAGTCCTCTCTGAGGATTTCGTCAAAATATTTTTAATTAAAAGAAATATTGAATTTATGCAAACCTTTACGTCCTCACTGTATACACCAGTATATTAGGCGCCACGATGTTCCGGTAGGAATCTATGAAGTAGTATCAGCGAGCCGCAAGCCTTTGCTCCACCATAGGCTAATTAGTCACCAGCATATTCTGGTCATCCAAATCGTCGAAATGAGAGTCGTCTGCCTGTCCTGCTTGGCTATCTGACAACTATAACAATGCTTATGCCTCCCATTAAAAATGTTAAACCATTTATTTTACCCTTTTAACCGATCAAACAAATATTCTTCTTAAGGTGCTATTCGTAGTGTAGGAAAGTTAAACCTTTCCCTGTATGGTAATTTGCAGAAGCTTGTATTTTCTGTCTCCTTACATGGCAAAGGTATTGAAGTTATAATGATGAAACATCAAATAAAATATTGTTCCAAAGCTATTTTCTTATGGCATTTTAATATAATTGAGTATTTTTATTGAGAATAAGCTACAATTTTTTTTTAAATAAGTTTATTTTGAAGATTCGATTTCCACTTCAGAAATAGTTCTCAAACTACAAAACAAAATTTTGAGAACGATTTCCGACGTGGAAGTAAAATTGTGGCTTATTCCCAATAAAAATAGTAAATTAAGTCAAATGAAATATTTTTAAGTGTATTCATAGTTGATTCTTATAAAGTAGAATACTTCAAAATTTATGAATCAATTTATATTTCTAGTTCAACCCAAGAAAATCTATATGATGAAACAGTTAGGCCTTTAGTAACATCAGTTCTTGATGGCTACAATGGGTGTGTGTTCGCTTATGGACAGACAGGAACTGGGAAGACGTACACGATGGAAGGGGCTGAAGGAGATGACAAGGGTATCATTCCGAGAGCGTTTGAGCAAATTTGGTCACACATAGATAGAAAAACTGGTGTTGAATTTTTAGTTAGTGTGAGATATTTGGAAATATATATGGAGGAAATACGGTAAGGTTTATTCTGTCATATTTTATTTATATGTAGTAATTAAATCAAATATTATCGTAAAGTGGTATAAAATTTTTATTTTCGTAAACACAGTATTTTCACAATTAATCTTTAAAACTAGTCATATACTTAGAGGTCAAGAAAAATATATAAAGGTTCAACTGCTTCTTCAAAATTATATCCATAGTGTTTCTTGAGGTAGCCTCCACTCTGTTTGGATATGCCTGGGACTGGGTATTATCGAGAATTCCAATTAAAGGATTAGTCAGATAAAATGTGCTAGACTGTTTAAAGTAGAAATGAAAATACTAGTGAGTGTTTTGCTTGGTGAGAAGCAACATCTCTACAAATAGGTTCTGCAACAAAATAACATATTTAGAACCGACACGACATGGAATTGGAATGACATATGTGCTAATAGGTCCATTACTCTGAGAATTGGTTGACCTCAAAATTAACATTTTAACTATATCTCGACTCAATCTCCTATTGAGGGCAATGTACAACTGTCAAAGTGACAGAAGTAAAGTTACGCCTAACTATAAGGAATCATATGCCACTCCTCGGTTTATTTATAAATAGCTACTTGTTCCAATATTTTAGTTACACAAATAGCTCCTTTGTATCTGGTTTTATAGTTTCTGTATGATTGATGCGTTGTTTCCTTTCCTTGCCTTCTTATTATGTGCTTTCCTGAACCATTATTTTTCCACTAGAATCTAAGGAATTGATGCCCACTCCCAACAGATCCCATGAAAAGATAGAAGTCTAATGAAACTTAGGTGTCATCTTATACTAGGAGTTGATCCGCTCTTGCTTTCCATTCCATAGTGCTCAGCTCATAGGATTCATAACCCTAATTGAGAATGAAGAGACCCCATCATAAGGTCTCACGACGCTCGGAGAATTTCTAGATCTTAAGTAATATAAAAATATAACTAGAAATGATAAAGCAATTCCTTAAAGTCAGGTTCTTCATTTATTCAACCTTTACTCTCTGGTTAGAAGACACCGGACTAAATTCGCTAAAAAAAATTAGGTTTCAGTGTGAGATCGAGGTTCGGTATGTACACAAATAATCTATTTTATAAATCAGAGTGCTCATATAGAAAAATAACCAATTTTTACATTTGTAGAGATTTGCTAAAAATTAAAAATAACAAACCTCACGATCTACGCGAAATATCAGGCCAAGGTGTTATAGTAACCAATCTTCATTCTCAAACCTGTCAAAGCGTGAAAGATATGTTGAAGGCGATGAAAATAGGTAATCAGAACCGGACGACTGGAACCACTAACATGAATGAACACAGCTCTAGATCGCACGCTATCTTCCAAATAATCATCGAGATGGCTGAAGAACATTCGAAAACTATGAAGGTTGGCAAACTAAATTTGGTAGATTTAGCTGGAAGCGAAAGACAGTCAAAAACCGGTGCTACAGGAGATAGACTTAAAGAAGCTACAAAGATTAACAAAGCTCTATCTTCACTAGGTACGATTAATTTTTTTAAGTGTGTGAGGATTTTATGTTTAATTTAATGTAATATTTAATTTTGTAATTTTAGGAAATGTGATATATGCCTTAGCTGAAAATTCTTCTCATATACCATATAGGGATTCGAAGTTAACAAGACTTCTGCAAGATTCTCTTGGTGGTAATAGTAAAACGATCATGATAGCAAATATTGGACCAGCTAGTATGAATTATGAGGAAACAGTCATTACATTAAGGTATGAACAACATATTCATTTTTTTTTATACCAAATCAAATGCCCTTATTTATTTTGAACATTTATCGGTAATCTATATTATTTAAATATTTTTTTCATGGATAGTTCATTCTTTTATCATGATATGAAATCGACTGAGTAAATATGCAACTTGACAACACTGTGAGTTCACTATGTAATTTATATGAGGAATATATTTTTATAGGAGGATAATTATCTAATTTACTTAAAGATTTTTTCTCTTTGTAATTTTTGTAGGCCTTAGTTGTTATTAGTTTTGCTTAGTTATACCGCTTTTTACAGTAAAAAGAAGTATTGCTTGGTCTCTTTTTATAAATTATAGATAACCAATTGTGAAGTATGCTCGCGCCTCTCCCTTTTCGGGAACAAGGATTCTTGTATAATTCTCTCATTAAAAACAATTGTTTGTGTAAACTGTTTGTTAACCCACTTACTACAAAACACACAACTTACATGATCAAACCTCAATAAAACAATACGTCTAAGAGACTGACCCAGAACTAGATCTAAATTGAACATTTTCATTCGATGAGGACGGCTATATTTTGATTTGTTAAGTCACTCAGGTGATCTAATCTAACTCTAGTTTGTATATATTAGAATGTGGGTAGAAAGAAAATAAAAACGTATTTAAAAATTTGCAAGTTTGTCGGAGAAAACGGTAAAACTATGTCTACCCTCAAGCTGGTCCGAACGTTCTAACAAACTAGTTACCAACACCACATAATCTGTTTTAACCTTAGACCATTAAAGCTTATAGACACGCCATTGGGACATTTTTTCATTCGCAAGTTGGCAACGAACAGGTATCAGAAGGTCAATGCTTGGTTCAATCTAAATTAAAAAGATATTTGGAAAGTAATCATCCTAGTTTAACCGATAAGGCCGAAGAAACCTTCAAACGTCGTGCTTCATCTCTTCAGGCAGGGCCATGCATGATGGAAAGAGTCTGCAAAAATGAAATTGAAAACGCCACTGAAGCATAATTTATTAAGCTGAAAACCCCCATACAATTGCCCAGGAACTGATTAAACCTTGTGTGAAGGATGTCGTACAATGCATGTTAGGTCGAGATATGGCCAAGAAGATTCATACTGTCCAGATGTCAAACAGCACTATAAGCAAGAGAATTCACACTATTTCAAACTTTGTAGAGAGAGAACTTATAAATAGATTAAAAACTTGTGAATTCTTCAGTTTACAGCTTCATAAAAATCCCGCGTTGCTGGACTTTCTGTTCTGCTTGTGTTTGTAAGGTTTCCATTCAGGATGAAAATAGAACTCCTTATGTGTGAAGAGCTTAAAAGTTATGCGACTGGTGAAGAAAGTTTCAAGGCTATTCACGAGAATATAAGAAAAAATTATGTAGAGTGGAGTAAATATGTGGATATTTGCATTGATGGAACGGCTGCAATGGATGGTAAAATTAGAGGGGCGGTGTCTAGAATAAAGGTAATGGCAGAAAATGCCTCCAGCAGTCATTGTATCTTACATTGCCATTCTTTGGCAACTAAAAAGATGCCGCAAGATTTAAAAGACGTATTGGATGATTCTGTGAAAATAATTAACCATGTAAAGATTCGTCCACTTCAAGCACGCCTTTTAATGCTCACCGCTAAAGATATGGGTATGGATCACTTTAATCTTTAGCTCCACATATAATTCCCATAATTATAAAGGATATAATGAAAACATCGAAACAGTTTCATTCATTACATTAAGTAAGGATATTTGAATAACAAATTTACTGTATTTTATTGATCTGAAATAAAGTTTATATTGAAATCAAATCAGCCTCAGAATTGTATTGTTTTCATTTTTTTTGTTTCCCAAATCGCTTCTAGGGTTGGTGTGCCTCGAAATATTTTTAGTTCTACGAGGGTGTCGTGAATAAAAATGTTTTAGAACCACTGGTCTAAGGTTTTAACCCTATACTTATATTATCATGGAATATATTTTAATTTAAGCATATTTTTTCTGTTTAGATACTCATACAGAGCAAAATCAATTAAGAACACTCCTGTCAAGAATGAAGACATCAAAGACGGCAGACTTTTGGGACTACAGCAAGAAATCGAACGTCTGAAACAGCTGATAATGGAAAAAAGTAACGGCGCCTTCAGTGCCAATCCTGATGAGGGTGGGGAAACAGAGAGTGAAAGTGAAGACGATATTAACATAGAAGAAAGTCAAAAGAAGTTGGAGTTGGGCAAAATGGAAGTGGACGAGCTGGCGAAAAAGTTGAAGAATTTGGAAAAACAGATGGTTCACGGCGGGAAAAATATCGTCGATAGTGTTAACGAGAATGAAATCAAGCTTGAACAACAGAGATCAGAGATAGCAGCAAGAAAGGTTGGTATAACGTTATGTGCCACGTTAATATTTAAATATTGGCAAATGACGAGATATTTGGAGATGATGACGTGAAAAGAGTTTGTATGAAGAAAAGAATATTTGTATCTATTGTGACTATTTTCTTTTATAAATATAGTAAAAATTGTTTTTGTTTTTCATTAATTTTTCTGCTCTAATTTGCTTTCAGAAAAAAGAAATGGAAATGCAGCAAAAATTGGAAATGGAAGAAGAAACTTGCACCGAACTTAAACAAGTGTTTGCAAGCTTGCAACAACAAGTTGATTTTAAGAAAGATAAAATAAAGCGATTCAACAATAAATTACAGTCCATTCGACAGGAGATCCGAGATAATCATGAAGTTTACATTAAAGATCGGCAAGAGATAGAGGAAGCCAATGACGAAGCTGCATTGTATGTATTTTTTAAACAATGTTTTTTACGATCTGTACATCATATAGAAACCACAATTTATTGTGCCAATTAAATATAGTTTGGCATTTATTACGTAATCTCATAAATGTCTCGTGTACCTGCGTCACTTCGTTTTTGGTATAATATCTGTAGTCATGGATCATTTACAACTGATCCGGATTAAAGATCCGTATTTTTACAGATATTACGTAATCTCATAAATGTCTCGTGTACCTGCGTCACTTCGTTTTTGGTATAATATCTGTAATCATGGATCATTCACAACTGATCCGGATTAAAGATCCGTATTTTTACACCGTCACGTAGGACCCGGTTCTTGAAATTATTACGACCTACCGTATGCCCAGGATAGCAATAGACGCGAGCTGCGCACAAAGTAGAGGATGAATGCAGAATTCGTTTGTTGCTTACCTACAGAGTTGCTACAATTCCTTTAAATTTTATATTTTTATACTTATAGTTTGCTACTTTTCTTTCACTTAAAAAAAAACGTGTTTTGGCTTATTTTGTAGCATAATTTTTTTCTTTAACTATTAAATATTAAAAAAAAATTATTTGATACGCCCCTGGCTGATGCGTGAAAGCGACCTAAAGCTTTTTACACAACCGTTTTTGCCAAATCATCTGGAAATCAATATTAACGGCGTAATTGTCGAATTTGACCTCGCCTTAATAAAATTGTGTTTTAATTTTAAATAAGTTCAAACAAAAATTTGAAGACACAGCACCTTTCAGGTTCATTTTCGAATCTAAGGCATCGCAGAAGAGAGAACCGATTTACTGCGAGTAAAATATGATACGAGGAAGTACGAGCTTGACGCGAGGAATCAAGGAGAGAGTTAGCAGAGAGGAGAACAATTCATGGTCTGCACACGAAAACATCGTTTTCGTAGAGTTTTGAAAACCGGCAAAATTTTCCCTTAATCCATGAGTTTTGGTGAGAAGGTGATTTGAGCTCAATATGCCATGTGACATTCTTTGTAAAGTGAGTTAATCACCGTTTTGTTGTAAGGTGTATACTGTGACAAGGGATTTGTTAACATCGTAATGAGGGCTAAGTAAGCTGACATTGTTTTAAGTGGAAAATAGGCAGCCGAGTTTGAAAAATCACATATTGTTATCATTAAGGATAACCTGAAGTCCAGTTTTGGTATTTGATTTGATCTCTCCAAGTTCTTCCCAAAAAAGGAATACTTATGCATACCTTACTCTTCAACCAAAACATGAGTAGCCGTTGGCAAACGCTTTAATTTATTTGCTTACCCCGTCTCCAAGCCCAGTTCAGTACCCCCTTTTAACCCCCTATAAACAAATAGAATTGTAACAATTTCAGACGTCCCTAAAGATAGTTTGAGTGCGAAAGTACTTAGACGAGATTTAATATAAGAACTGTGCTTGATTTTTATTTCTAAAATTGCCTTTTATTTCTAAAATTTATATATTTGAGCATTCAATAATTTATTTAAATTTTGTAAATTTTAAATATATATTTAACAATGTTACTTAATAATAAAATAAATGTATTGTGATAGTTTGAAACTAATTACAGTTACCTGATTATGATAATTTCCATCGTCATAATTTTTTAGTGCTGCGCAAACAAGCTCTATTGGGTTTAAGTCTGGATGATAGGTGGGAGTCTTAATACGCCATGTCCGTTATTTCTAATGTATGGAATAATTTCGGTTATTATTCCTACTTCTTTAGTATATTCATTACGGTAAATGAACATGATACTCAAAAAATATACTATACTTATTGTAAAATAAACATATTCGTCACTCAATGTCAAATGTAGTTTTTTCCCTGTATTATTATACTTTAAATTTCTGGCTCTTCTGTATACTTAAGCAGGTATGTGAAACTTTCTACTGTTTCAATATAGTCCTTTAAGTCAACTTTGCGTCTGTTTTTCGTAGCTCTTGCGTTATTTTTTTTTGTCTTCTGAATATTTATTTTGTCTGGTGTCTTTTGCTCCTGTTTTTAATTGTGAATATGTTTCTGCCGCCTCTTTCTTCTTCTATACATAATTCTGATGTTATCTGCATAAGCGTTAATCTGTATTTATTTATTTGTTAAGATATTAGCTCTTCCTACATTTAACCGTTGATTGAATATTCAATCAACGAAGTTGAGGGATGTTAAAGTTATACTTCCCCTTGTTTTTTTCTTCATCAAAAATATTGAAATTCATAAAATCGAATACTCAATACGTTTTTTATTGATTTCCCATATATGAATAGTAATTGAAGATTTCGATGTTGTATACATCAGTGTAAATATTTTTTAGAAACCTAAGAAAATGGTTTTTGATAATAGACAACTTTGTACCGACAGAAGAACGATCTCGATTAACAAACTTGGCTCAATTTGATGAGAATATTGATAATTGGATTTTAAGAAAAGAGAAAATCAGAATCAATCCTGTTGACAGGCCACTAGCTCATAGTTACCGGAGACCAATATCAGATACTGCCATTCAGATGAATGCAACATCGCCTAAATATAGGGTAAGCTATCTTTTAATAATTACTAAAGCACGTTAATATTTGTCAGGTAATTACTTGATGTACTGTTATTGTACTAGTTAGTATCTCCTAATCTTATTTCTTGTCCTTATACGATTTTTTTTTATTTTTGAAAGGTCAGTTTTTTAAAAATAGCTTCTGTATTGCAAAGACTGCCCTAGAGTGGAATCACCAAGGAAAAAGAAAACGCCCAGCACAAATTCGAAGATCAATTATGGACAAAATAAGAATTCAAGGAAAGTCTTGAGATAAAGACCTTAGCGCAAAATAAGACGCGATGGCACGTTTTCACCGAAGCTCTATGCTCCACTTACGAGTTCAAGAACCTTATATAACGAAAATGTAGGCAAGAAATATCCATGAGGCAAGAAAACTTAAAATAACGTAAACGGCTTACTTTAGACATCGAAGAGGGAAACAAAAAATGTCAAAACTAATCCAAATGTAAGGGAAAAAAGGCCCAATGGAAATTCACAATGAAGATCGGAGCGGAAAACTTCCAATTTGAGACGAAATTATCGAAAAAGTTAGACGAATATTGCTTGAAGATCGGAGGTTCAAATTAACGACCTTGTTTTGCATATTCCTGAGACTTTCCACCTTACAATTCATAAGATATTAACAGAAATGTGTGCGCGGTGGATACCGCGAATGTCTTCAGAAAGTCACAAACAGCAACGTGTCGAGTGTGCCCAGTAGTTTTTGCAATAACGTGAAGACAGCAAGGGAGATTTTTTTAGTTTCCAGTGTTATAGGCGACGAAACATGGACGTTTCAATTTACCCCCGAAACCAAGCAGCAATCACGTGAATGACATTACTGAATGTCGACGAAGTCTAAGAAGTGTAAACAAGCGCAGTCTGCTTGGAAAGTCATTCATGAAAACCATCTGTGAGACAGGAAGCACCTACGGTTAATCGACTTTTTGCCTCATGGAACAACAGTTAACTTCGCCAAATATTGCAAGACATTAAAAAAACTGAAACTTGCCATCCATAACCGCCGGCGAGGACGATTGTTCAGTGATGTGAGGCTTCTCCATGACAATGCTCAACCTCATGTCTCACATCAAACTGAACAACTGCTGGGAGATTTTGGCTGGACTGTTGTGCCCTATCCCCCTACTGTCCGGATCTAGCCCCAAGTGATTATCCCTTATTCCAAAAATTAAAGGAACATTTGGGTGGCTTAAGCTTCAGTACGGATGATGAAGTCAAGGAAGAGGTTACTCGATTTCTCAAAGGTTTGGCGGTAGGATTCTATAACATGGGGATAGAAAAGTTGGAGTATCGTTTCCAAAAGTGTTTGGAGAGAAACGGCAATTATGTAAAAAAAAGAAGAACAGCTTTAAGTTCTAAAATGATATATAATACTAATAACAAAAATAAAGCTGTCTATTTTTAAAATTCTTGAGAATTTTGTTTTATTAGGAATGGCCCTCGTCTATTATTTTACCCAAAAATGGTTTAAACTCTTAAGTATTCTAATATTATTTGAAATATTCAGGTATTCTGACATATTTTATTATTATAAGACTTTTTAACTTCAGGGAGAAAATGTACTGGACTTAAAACTGGATATGCCTCTGAGAACCACTCAGGATTACACTCCACCCGCCGTTTGCCCTCAAATAAAGTCCATTGTAACAGACGTCATTCGAAAAGAAATGGAAAGCAACCATATAGTTGTTAAGATGCCTTCCCACTCTATGGGACGAACTTTATCATCAAAATTAGAACAGGAGGGAAAGTATAAGCAAGCTACCAAAGTAATGGTGGATATGCATAACTACAGGTAAATTTATACACACTATAAATATGTTTTGTGAAATACGAAACTACTTTTTCCCCTCCACTATTTTCTGAACCAAAAATTTCTTATTTAACAAATCTAAGACACATGCTTGTATTGTTTATGATTTTATAGTGATGTTATCATTAAAAATGGCGGACAGGCACTATTTTGTACGAATTTGAAATGATATGACAAGTAGTACATCGTTTGACAGCTCTTCTGTCACTCCATTTGTTGTTCAATTTTATCGAGCCGTTTCAAAATGGCAACTGGTCAATGTTCAATGGCGACAGTATGGAAAACATGTGAGTTATCCCTAATAATTTAGTAGTCTTCAGCATATTGTGACACAATCCTTTGTTTATTTATTGATATCTGCCAAAAATACTGAGGTCGTCTACATTTTTCTTCAAAAACAATATATAGGTATAGGTCTTGTGACACTCGGTATATTCCCAGATAATTAATTTAACTTTACCTAGTTAACCTAATAAAAAATCTGTATGATAAAAACTCAGCCAAAGTTAAATTACACGGCATATTCAGATCCGTTCAAAGAAAGAAAGGAACTAGACAGGGCTGCATGCTATCACCATTATTATACATCATTTATTCTGAATATACAGTACGCTAAATTTTGGATTAGATATTGCAAACTACATAAAGCGCTAAAATCGGCAACATTGCCTCGTACGACGTAATTGTAATTTTCCATCCCTTCCGACACCTTAGACTCCTAGGCAGAAAACTAGACAACGAAAACCGTGTAGTAGAGATAGTGCAAGCACTCCTGACCATGGAGCTGCGCGAAGGCGGAGTCAAAATTCATGTAAAGGCAGAACGGTTCTATTGTAAGTGGAATTACATAGTGCATAGTACAATGCGTTTCGCATGGAAGTGGGGACTAAACCAAATTTCGTCTACTGGGCCGTGGTCAAGAGTGCTTGCACTATCTTTAACACATAACAACGCAATGGAGGTGCATCTCCTTCCGTCGATTTTTGTTTGGCTTACGTACACCTGGTTCATTTCTTATAATATAAACTCGATAAAAAGACACTGACTATTATAAGGCGGTGCATTTGTATAGGTTTTTAATAATGTGAACAATTTTTTGTGGTTGAATTAAAAATAAAAGCGCATTTCTTTAAAAAGATTAAACAAAAGATATTCTCGTATTGAAAATAAAAAATAATTTTTAATAAAATAAGAAATAATTCTGTATTCCCTACAGAAATGATTCATTGACCTTCTACGGCTGAACAGTAGCCCAATATGTCATAAAAACTTCTGCGGACAGATGTAAGAATTTCTGCTGTAATAGAATTGGAGACTTCTCTTATTCGGTGTCTTAGTTCATCCAAATTTTGGGCTCTAGCCTTAGAATGATCATAGATGATGCTTTTTAAATGTCTAAAAAAAAAGAAGTCAATAGGTGTAAGATCTGGAGATCTGGAGATCTCCCCTTAAGAAACACAGAAAATAAATCTACATACTGTTGTCCAGAATTACCACCATAAAACCATTTTATTATTTGAACCTTTTCTGCGGGCGTGTAAACGGCACATGTTGTTTACAAAAATAAATTAAAATCTACGCTCTTATTGTTTTAAACAACCACTGTATAGAGACAAATTATTGTTGTCATTTGCCAGTGTTGCCGTTTATAGTGTGTATATCATCGAGTTAGAATCTATGGAGAAGCTATGAGTATATTAACGTGTGTATTATAAACGGCGCCAGTAGGTGTGGCTATCGATCATACCAATATGGCGGTGGGATCAGGACCAGACTCAATAATATTAAAACTACTTAAAAATATGACTAGTTATTCAGAAGATTTAATCATAATCTAAAAAAGTGCAATACATTTTTAATAAACTATGATTTATTTATCCCGCGGTAAACACTAAAAACACATATATTATACATAAAGATAAATTAATACAGTCAAATAACAAGTTGTATCTGAAAGAGATAATAATATAAATAGTATTTTAAAGGGTAAAATGAATATACGGTATGAAATAAAAGAAATACGTTCGTTTTACAACTTATATATTTGATAACTACAAAATTAACTTGATTCTGTCGAATATCACAAAGGAAATACTTACTGTGTAGAAATAAAAATAATGATGTTGCAGTAGTTAATAAGAATATATTACCTGTGTAATATAAGCTATTGGAACAGGAGTGTCTTTCAAGCGAATATAAGAAAGTGAAGTTCTATCAATATCTTTTTATAAAAAATGTTTTGAACATAAAACACTATATTTAACCTAAAAATATAATATATGTATTACTAAGTATTAATAACAAATTTATATTTTAAATAAAAAATATGATTATTGAACTAAAAAATATTATAAATAGCTTACAAATTTTTTATTAGTATCTTTATATTCTATGTATTTATTACTTATATTTTATTGAAAGTGGATGTTTTAATTGCTATTTTGTAAATTTTTAAAAATATTCAATAATGACTGAAAAATTAATCGAGAAACTTAAAAAGTTACTGTAAGATTTTTAAAACTCTGAAGTACGGGCCATTACTTTGTTTACATATTTGTATACTAACCTGTGGAACGTTATTCCTGAAGATTTTTTATTAATATTTCTTCTGTTACTGCAATTACGTTGAGAACAAGAAACCATTATTATGCACTTTACAGTTTCTATAAAAGTATTATAAAACTAAAATATTCGAAAAACAGCAAACGTAAATAATCATACACAATCTGTCAAAACGATCATAACAATATGGCCGAAGTGAGGTCGTTTTTAGTCACATGATGCCCTCTCCATAGATTCTAACTGGATGGTGTATATCTAATTTAAAAGTTAACGTACAGTATATAATTGTCATCCCTACACAGGTGTATAAGCAGCCCAATAATATGTACTCTTCTGGTCCGTTTTCGCGTTAATCACTCCGCCGTTCATTTCATTTTTGTTCTGTAGTTAGATATGTTCATTCTGTTAATATCTTCTGACCTGATCTTCCCATCTGCACTTTGGCCTCCTCTTGTATCTGTAAGGTCTTGTATTTGTAAGTTTTCACTTGTTCACTAAAATGTTCTTCTAAATTGCTTTGTTTAGTAAATATATATTGTTAGAATTTAGGAACCACTGTATTTTACTGTTTATGTAGGTAGTATTTTCCATCAAGTATCAGGCCAATTTTCCGATCTTAGAGTTATTTAGTAACAATCGATATTATTTTTGGATTTCAGTATCAAACGTTTTTTGCTATGGATCTTAAGTCTCATAAAGATTAAAATTTTTATACAAATTCTGGTAACGTTCGGAAATCCAAGAAGAACTGTAACTAATGAGTACAATTCGCCAAAAATGCACGCAAGTGACAATATCTTCTTATTTTAACAACTCACTGACTTTTTCTCTCCCTAGGAACCGCTCGGCTGCTAAATCTGCCCGATCTTTCCAATGAAGATCTAAAGGAAGGAGAGGAATTCTGCATTTTACTACTTTTTTGTGATATACATTGAGTTGAAATGTTTATGCAGCTTTTTTAGATTTTTATTTTTATATATTTGTTAACCAACGTACTTTATAATTTATTTTTTTATACAATTATACACGTATTATTTTTATCACCAGTGATATCTTTTAAGTATTACGTTTATTTTAAAAGAAAAGAGAATAAGTTGTAGTTAAGTTTTTAAATGGTAGATTATCAGCTTTAAAGTTACTACTTGATGCAAAAGATATTAAGCATCTCTCTAATTATTAGTTTAAAATAAAAGTTGCAATATTAGATCTCATTTTGAATAAGAGTATATTAAGACTGTATCCAGCAAAGAGCATCTGTAAAATTATGCTGTTTTTTTGCGTCCTATGGTCAGCTGTCAATTATTGACAGTTATCAATTATTTAGATCTGTCAATATGTCACGAAATCTCCCCGAACTGCACCATCAGATTAATTTTTAGAACGGTTTGAAGGTATTTCCTCCTATTTTAATTTTGTATTATAATCTGAACTCGAAGTAGTGTTTATTTTAGGTATCTTTCAGATTCATTTTACTTGTCCCTTTCTTGGTTATGCGATGTATGCTTAAGTTTTGTGCTATTCGTCTTCTAGTCGGGGGGTTAGTACTACCCATACTATATATATACCAATGTAGCAAATACACTAAACTGATGACGGATTCAGATTCAACGGTTCAAAATTTCGTGAAGAAAATTGCGAAACCGGAAGATTTTTTCGATCCTTGAAGTATCTGAAATAGTATATTGAGAGAAATACAGGGAAACTATATATTGTTTTTCCTATTTATTAATAAGTAGTAAATTAGATCATACGGGCATCGTACAGAATACGTTCCGGTGAATATAGCCACAAATGATGCACGATAGGACGAAATATTGGTGTTTAACTGCAATTAATATCGAAAGAAACAAATATTCATTTGTTTGTTTTATTTAAATTAAAAAATTGCAGAATTCATAAAATAATATAATAAAAATGTATTTTTTCAAAGCTTTCCTATGTACAGTTGCGGTCACGGAATAGTTTACACCTTACTTTTTATATTGTAATACTGTAAAATTGCAGTGTCGTACGGATTTGATAAATGTCAAAGTCAAAAAATTTCAAAACGTCAATGCTTTCGCGAGTGTTCAACAATAAAATAAAAGTATATTAAACTCTTCCAAAATGGTTAGAATACATTTGAATTATGCGCAAAAAGCAAGAGCAATGTTAACTATAACATGAGGTGATTGGTGCTATCTATGAACAGAAGACTGCAAAATTGTATTGACAAGAATGGGGCTTCCACCAAATATTAATTATTATTTATCATTGTTTATCGTTATTTAATATAAAATAGATTTAAAATAAAATGCATATTAAAAAAAAGACTTCTTTATTTTCGTTATTAAGATCATAATCCATTTTATTCAAAAAACTGTTTTCTATATTTTTCATTTTGTAAAATATTTTGATATTTTAATTTTAATCTACCTATTCTAGCTAGTACACCACTGGCAACGTCACTTTGACGTAAAAGGTGCGTTTAAACGAAGTAAAAATTTAAAAAATGGGCTCCTAGATACGTGAACCTGTAAATTCCGTGGCCGCAACTGTACATTTGAAGTATACAACATACATCATGAGAACATGATAACACTATCAAACGCCAAAATTTTGTTTTGTGATCTTCATTTGTGACTATCTTCACCGGAACGTATTCTGTATGATGTCTGATCATACTATACAGGGTGAGTGATCTCAGATCTAAAGAGTGAACTCTTTAATAAAATATTGCTGTGCAAAAAGATACAGTGTGTTTAAGTTTAAACGTTTTTTCTTTGTTTGAGAATTAGTTTAGTTAGTGATAAATGATAATAGTGGATATATTCTCCAAGATTGGCTTAAATCTATACTTATCTACATTGCTACAAAACTAAGTGCAAACAATGATTCTAAAGAGCTTTCTAAAGATTCTACATGATCAAATTCGTATAAAATGCTAGCAAAATCTGAGTGAACTACAGATGGGTTTTCCAGAAGGATTGGGAATTAGATAAGCTTTCTTTGCACTATCAGTTTTATTACAGAAGTGCAAAGACTAAAGAAAAGAAGTTTATCTATGTTTTATAGATTGTACTAAAACCTTTGACCATGTAAAATATAGTGCCATGTTGAATATTTCGGAAAGAAAAGGTTTGCATTGCAAAGATCTAAAGGTTATTCAGTACTTTTACATTCAATAGAGATAGTACAGCTCGAAAACAGCCAAACAAAAGCTGTATCAATTAAACGTGGAGTCAGACAAGGTTGTGTACTGAGTCCCCTGCTTTTTAACATGTACTCTTAGACAGTATTCCAAAAATCTCTTGAATGCAAGGAAAATAGCATAAAAGTGAATGGAATATTGATAAATAATAATAATAGTTAATATCACAGACAGTCATCGTACACACAGGTAATTGCAGACACTTCGAGGGGCTTGCAAGGTTTACTTAACAAAATGTCAGTTGAAGGAGATTTATTAGGCTTAACAATTCACACCGAAAAGACAAAGTGACTGGATATTTGATGTAAATCATATGTCGAGCAGTGGATAAGTCATTTATCGTCATTAATCTTTCGTTAAGAACTGTGTTATTCATGTATATGATGCTTTTAAAAAATAATACATACTTACATAGGCCCCATCCCTAATAATGTTGCTTAGTCCCATCCATAATACTGTTCATAACACATAAGCCGACTATAAGAATACGAAACCCTACGAAGCGAAAAGAATAAAACGAAACGCTGTGAGACAAAAATAAGAAGACTTGACAGACGAAATGTCATGGCTTTACTTTCTGTACAGAAGATTTTGATCGCGGACATTTAGGTGATATAAGCTTAAGGTCTTTACGGCATTGTTTAATTTTTCTTTATCATAGTATTATATTTGCTAAATCTTGTCATATGATACCTCGCACGTCACGATTTTCCCGATAGTAGCAAAGATACGTTTCTAAAGCCACTTTGGCATGCCGTAATGTTTCATTTTTCTTTTTCATCGTATTTTATTCGTTAAACCCTCTCACATGTCACCTCATACGTCACAATTCAACTAGCCGTTCCACATCCGTCCTACAAAAGAGCCAAAAAATGACCAGAATGAACCTTGGATTTTGGTGGAGGCGACAGTGCTCATTCTTAGGGGAGCATCCACCAAATCGCAGATTTTGGTGCCGTATGCACATAGCCTATTTACCTTACTGTGGTAAATCGAAGTCCAAATCAATCAGTACACGTAAATGTATATCGAACAGAAATAACTAAAATTTCCAAATTTAAGTATTGGGGCAGCTGGATCGATGACAATCTTAATCACGATTTAGAAATTAGAACTCTGATAGAAATAGCCAGTTCAAACTTTTTAAAAATGCGTAGTTTTCTAAGCGGTAGACGCTCATAATATAAATAAGAAATAATTAATTATTTAATTATTAAGAGCTACATATATTCCAGACTTTCTTATGTGGAAGAATCATCAAGAAAGTGTCACGAATACTTACATTCAGTTTCATTAAAAGTTAGTTTAAATATTCTCCAGTTAAAGTTTTAATTTTTTCAAGATGGTCAATCAGCAAAATTCTTTACTCATCTCAAAACACAGGCTGTACCCATTTTGCCCAAAGCTTTTTTATGTTTTATTGCTGCAACATTTAAGCAAAATCTTCCAACAAAGAAAAATCAGGCGAAAATGTGTTTACAGCTTGGGCTTATGATTTACTGTGCACAAACACGAATGTTTCACTATGTAAACCGTCAAATTCAGTTTCTGAACCGTTGTAACTGCTTCAAAAATAATCCTTATAATCTATTAAATCGGTATTTAATACAGGGACAAGTGTGACATTGTGACGTCAATACTAGTTTATAATAAACGAAGTACTTTTCTTGGAACTCTTTTATTGTTTTACGATACACTCTAAATATAATTATAATTTTATTAACACATTATTTATCTTAAATATACACCAAATTTGTATTAGAGATACATTTTTCACTGCACTATTCCATTTGCACTACTCACTACTTAAATCAATTTTTTAATACTCCAAAAGACTCTCTTTATTTTTATGCTTTATTTTTATACTTGTAAATATATGATTTTTTTCTCCTAAGTTCGTCTCACGTTTTCAATCATCTTTAAACACTATTTGTTTTTTATTGAAAAACAAAAGAGTGTTTTCAGAAAAAAAAATTTCGAACAATACCTCCAGCTGTCTTATATGCCAGTGAAACATGTATCTTTTCGAAACGAGATTGCGGGAAAACTAAATTGCTGACAGAGAAAAATTTTGACCGAGGTAACTGACGAAGATGTGCAGTATAACAGTAATAACATATAGCAAAAGGATCGATTTCATATACAATGTGTGTAAAACGTATGTTAACGCTGTGAATAACAGCATTATACTGAATTTCCGTTCTTCGATTTATTCTACCTGGGAATTACACTGTATAGCTATAGAGACCTGGACAAAGAAGTGAGAGATCAAGTACAAAAAACAAATAGACTGGCAGGATGCCTTAATAACACTATATGGCGAAACAGACACATTAACACTGAGATGAAGTCAAGAATTTATAAAGCCAGTGTAAGACCAATAATGACATATGCCTCAGAAACAAAACCCGACACAGTCACAACGCAAATGCTACTGGAAACGGCAGAGATGAGTGTAATGAGGAGAATTAAAGGAAATACGCTGAGAGTTCGAAAGAGAACTGAAGACGTTAGAAGAAAATGTAACGTACAGCGTATAAATGAATGGATACAAAATAGAAACAAAGAATGGAGGAGACCCGTGTCGTTAAAAAAGATGGACTGAATTTTCCATAGAGGTATTAATCCGCCAATGAACAAGCAGAATTGCTCATAAAGAGGAAGAAGAAGAGTTATGCTACAAATAATGTTGGCTGTTTCAGCTATCTACGTTTCTGTATAGAGTCTCGTGACAGCATAGTTTTTTCGTTAATTACGTGGGACGGAATTAGGAAAACAATATTGTAATCCACATATATTAGATATATTTAGTATTTCTACTCTACCATTATTATAAAAGACGTATATTTCTTATCGTATATCTATGTAACTTTAAGGCTGATAATTCCATCTTTAAATCGACGAAGCAAGTACGTTATTAAGCAGCAAAAGTATTATTTTAATAAACTTAGTTTTAGTAGATTATTTTTATGATGAAGTGTTGGCAACTATGTTGCTAAGCAATGTTTTGAAATGGTTTTTATTTCATATATTTTTATGTATATTTGCAATTTTTGTTTATATATAAACAATTCGGCAAAAAGCAGTACCCAAATGAAGACGGTTATAAAATTGTACGCTCCAGATGTATTTGTCATATTTGGCTTATTTATCATTAACACGTTGACTGCCGATATTTATATTTTGTGATGGTAGCTAAA